GTTACAAAGATGTACTGTCAAATAAAAAGCCTTTCAGTAAGACATTTTCTGTCCTTTTAAACATGACAAATCTCTGGGAAACAAAGAACAAAGAGTATTGTTTTTCTATGTCAAGTGCATCTTTTTTTTAATTTACCAAAATAGAACAACAGTGGAGTATCAAGCTTTATCGATGTTGTCCATGATTTAGTCTCTGTGCACTGGGGTGTAGTACTGCCTGCTGATTTGTGGAAAAATTGAGCTTGAGAAAGAAACATAATGTTTTCCCCATCATGTGATCAATACAATCCAATCTGACTCGCTGTCGTATGGCTGAAGTACAGTAATCATTGTTACTGCATGTATGGAGTACACACACACAGTTTGGCCGAGTTTGCATGCCTCTACCATCAATAAACCGGGTCATTTGATAGCATGGCTTAACCAACATAAAACTCTAAACAAAACGTTAAATTAATTTTAGTTAAAAATAAACATCATTGAAAGATTAAGTCACAGTTATTAAATGATATGATTAAGAAACTCCTGTGTTATTTATAGAACAATCCTGACATTGTTATCTATAGATAATGTTTTGTAGACTTTGCATGCAATTACTCTGGAAAGGAAGTCATGATGGCTAAAACGAGCCCACAGATATGTTAAGAATGTGTATTATGGTAGAGACAACGTTGGTGGTTGAGAATGTTTACAACTATTCTCCTATGACTATGAGATGGTTTCAGGTTTGTAAAAATTTGTTTTCCAATACATTGTGAAAGTGGCACTTTTTTTTTTATATACAATGTACCGGTATGTGCTTTGCTGGGCATGGAGACATGGACACTTTAGCTGTCATGCTACAAGAATTAGCTCTGGTGTCATACCCCACCTGTTCAGACTTATTTCCAATATTGCTTTTAATGAGAACATTTTGCCATGATTGCTCCAATATCCAGGTGAGCAGTACAAGGTCTCTAAGTCTTGTTCTTTTAGGGGTTTTACGTCCTAAATACAATAGCTAGGTCATGTGAAGACGTGTCCATGGGTGACGGAGCCATTCAGGGGCCACTTCAGGGGGCCACTTCACCGCAATGTCAATATGAACATTGTATGGTGACACTTCACCCGATCACCTTAACAGGTATACTAACAAGGATTTCATGATGAGTGTTGCCATGAAAAAGGAGAGAACAAGAATATCCCAAGTGTTACATTGGCTGCCTCAGATTTATTTTGGTCACTTTCTTGTCATTTAGTTTAGGGCACAAAAGAAAATCCCCTATTCTGCTGGGGTTTCTAACAGTGGTGCAGGCCTCTTGCAATATGCAGTGGGTAACAGCTAGTATATTCTTTTAAAGGGATACCAGACCTGCACGGGTGCTTACACAGGCCTCGTATTGAATCAGTTTGTTGATTGTAAGACAACTGGAGCATATATATAGGTCAAGGTGATCTTTGTCCTTGTGACCTTTAATTATTATGGTAATGTATACCCAAAACTGTAGGCTTGTCATAATGAATAAACACTGTCAATAAATACCTTGTGATCAGTTTTGAATTAGCGACTGTATATAGACAATATACATTTTGTGTATATTTCGAAAGTATAATATATGATTATCAGAGACCCGTACAAAAGGTTCATTATACACAGTCATTATATAATTGACTGGCTTTCAATGTCACCTTCAGGGCACTGTGATTGCAGTTGGTAAAAGACAGTAAAGCAATACTCACATTACTTTACAATGTGTTTTGATACACTATCGTATTATAAAACATTATCAATAGGTATCAGCTGATTTCGCTTCTATCAAGTACTGCTTCAGCATGTGAATCGTTGTTTTTATCACTCAATGAGCAAAAACACCACTTAATCCTATAATGATATTATTTTTCCGATATATGTTTTTAACTATGCTGTGTGATACATGTACTGGCACACCATGTTCTACTTTTTACTGCTACATTTGTGTTAATTTTTTAGCAGAAACCCACTATAACTTAGCCTTAACCTTCATTGGAATAAATCAACTAGTCTTACATATAATAGAAAATGGTAATATAATTAGAGGATGGATAATTTCAGGAGATAAATATTTACCTACACATCTGAAGATAACAAATCTACTGGATTAATACAATAATATTTTAACTGTTGACATCTTTTAAAGGTTTGTTTTTCTGAACTTGTATGTTCTTAATCTGGCATAAAGTTGACTCCGGTCATAAGACTGTCACATTTACGTCACAGCAATCAAAGATGACATGTTCACAAATCATACACACCATTACTTATTCATGAGCTATCATACCTGTGGCACATGCAGGGTTGCTTGGTTAGTAGGTTTGACGTGGAGATAACATCAAACTGCTTCCTTTACATGTATAGATATGTACACCAGTTCTGGTTGTCGCTTACAACGTGTTTGTTGTCTGCATCACATCTACATCAGAAATTATTCAAAGCAGAACTTCCCAGATATATGGGGATCTCTTTTAGATAGATGGTGTAGTATTTTATTAAAAGTGTCCAGGTATACCAGAAAAGAAAATGTGATATTTGATTAAAAGTGTCTAGTCACAGTTCTATTACAATACATTTATACTGGGTACATTAAATAACATGGTTTGAAATAGAAACTATACTGTTTCATATCAGTCTCTTTTATGTAAGTATTTGATGTAATAGGGACACTCCCAGAGTTTGCTATTTTTTGACTAAATTTCCAGATGTCATGTGGTTGGTTTTCTTAAGACAACTTCTGCCACCAAAATACTGCTGTATATATATGTGTATATTGAACAACAAAGCTGCCATGTAACGATTTCTGCTGATACAGTGACAGTTTATAAATGGGAAATTGAACTTAGGAAAGGAATAACATACTTGTATGTAAGTCTCTGATGAAGTAGGGATACAAGGTAGTAAACTTACAAGGTTTGAGAAAAAATGTGTTATTTACCTGTGCCTGGTACTCTTATTATATCAAATACGGTGGCTATACTTAGTGTATCACAGTACAATCTGATTACTACACAGGATGTATCACAGTACAATCTGATTACTACAGGGGATACATGAAACTAATGAACGAGTAATATGATTAGGACTAGTAAATGTACCATGATCTCATGAATCACAATATATGTATAAATAATTATGTAAATCAACATGTTTAAATGAATATTTTCCCTCGTATTTCCCATTAATAGAGAACAAGTCTAAATATTGGTCATTGAAAATAGTTATCGTCATGGAGTCATTGGGGCTAGAACATGCTGTTATATCATTGTAGAGCATGACATTTACATTTATTGCCCTTGTAGTAGATTAACATGTTATTGGTTTACTGAGATTATGTTCCACAAAAGCATGATTGATTAAGGGAGAAACATATAGTCATGTTTCCCTCCTATAAAGGCGATAAAATATTTAATTACCACAACACAACATTAAAGATCTGATCATTTACTTGCAGTGATTATTTGTTGTTCTGGCATTTGGCTTTAGAGATCTACAAAAGAGGCCATGAGATAGATACTCGGAAGGGTAAATTGATCTTGTGAGGGATATTCAATTATGTGAGGGACAGTCAATCATGCTAGGGAGACTTGATGTTTTGTTTCTTTGTCATATGATGTTTTTAAACCAGTAAGACAGACTAACATATAGATGAAGTATAATGATTACGTTTTTGTCTTTATGGTAAAATCACTTTAACTGCCCTGTTGGTAGAAAATCCTGCTTTACTATTTATCAGAAAATGAGGAATTTGTGTGAATCATAACTTGTGCAACATGTGACATAGGATGACATATGTGAGATGGTTTAGACCTTGTATAAATATGGTAATCTGAAAGTTGCAAGCATATTGATTTCATGTTTTAAGTCTCTAAATATAGGTCATGTAGCTTATAAATGCATGTGTATAGTATCTGGCCCCTACTTTACAGATAATGTAATTGTATTAAATTTCTTTTTCTAAATTCAATCCTGTAGTATTTGTCATAAAGTTAAAGTTTTGTAAACATCTTAATTAAGTTTTTGATTGTGTAAATTTGGATTAATTTATGAAATTGAAGGGTCAGGAGTAATATAGATATAATCGCTCTTGTTTATGTATGACTAACTCTTTACTGTCTGTTTAGAATTGATAAAAACACAAACAAATCTCTGATCAAACCAACTTAATCTGTCTGTAATATAACGGAATTGATGAGTGTCTGCTGTATGTTTATATAGGGGGGAAAAAACAACGAAATGTTTGAGTTTGTTACATTTTTCTGAGTAAAACAAGAATTGTAGGATCACTTGATTTGAAGTACTCATCATCATACCCTTGGTGTCTTGTGTGTGTATACCAAAGTTTTGCAATACGGAAGTCATTGGAGTCAAGTTCCACTCCCCAATTGTCCTGTCGCAACCCCTTTTTCTTTGTATTGGACATACATTTGTATGTTGAAAATAAAGATATTATTTTTATCGTAAACTTCCAACTACATGTATAGCAGTAATTGTTTTGAGATGAGGATTGAAAACTGTTTAACAGGAGAAAGAGAAATGTAGGGCCAGACTGGGATTCAAATTCAGGACCCACCAAACTCTAGATGAACGCTCTACCAATTGAGCCACCTGGTCGCCGACGATCGACCCAGTGCAGTTTTCGTTACGTTCCTCCCTCTATTTTCTAAGTCTTCGCCCCTGAAGACATCACTATTTACAACCTAGATTTGGCTATCCCCTTGCCGAGCGTACACCCAATACTTGAATCAAGGGTTGGCAAACTTTCCAATTTTGTAACAGGAGAAAGAGAAAAGCAACTGCCTGACTGGGCTTCAAACTCGGGACCCTCCAAACTCTAGATCGATGACCAATTGAGCTATCTGATTGCCAATGATCGACCCAGTCCAGTTCCATTACAAATAAAAACTTTTTCATAGTGATATCTGTATCTTGTAAAGTGTACATGCACCCAGATTTATTACATATATCATATACATGTGATCTATTTCAGGAAGAAACTGTCTCATTTCTTGAAGAACCCGGACTGGAATCACAGTGGAAATTATGTGGCCAAACACTACATACAGACAGTTGACAGAGATGTGTATTTCCAGGATGTCAAACTTCAGATGGATGCCAAGGTTTGGGCAGAGGAGTACAACAGACACAGACCTCCAAAAAAGGTACCTTACATTGCAGTATGTACTACAGTACAACCACAATAGTTGGACTATTTTGCTTCTGCTAATTGATACAAAAAAAATATGTTGATATACCTTTCTACATGCCCCTTGGTGATGGATCATATCGTGATATACCCTATGGTATCTGTCCATTTGTCCATTAACTGTGCCCTTAATCCCTCGCCTGCTTTTACTAAAACACATATGATGGTGAAAATTGCTACATAAGTTGGCATTGCAGAATTTTACATGTATTTTTGATAGAGCTTTGACCTTTTGTTAAATGTTTTACTTGAGTTTGTCTGGAGCCTAGCTTCTTTGCTTTTACACTTGTATTTACCAAACTTTTTTTACTTATAAAGGTTGGGAAGATGAATGTTATATGTTGAATTTGGGTCTAAAATTTGACATCTGAATATATATAGTTATTCCCCTTTAATCTTCAGCCATCCTAGCGTTTCTGTCACATGTACACTACCTGTATATGTGCATTATAAAAAAGGACCTGTCTGATGTTGATTGACCTATGTTACCATTGTTTTATCCAGGTGGACATATTCCAGATGTACATCTTAGAATTTAGGGACAGACCAGGTTCTCCCTTGTATCACCTTGAGCACTTCATTGAAGGTCATTATGTCAAGTACAACTCCAACTCTGGGTTTGTGGACGACTCCCTGCGTTACACTCCACAGGTAGGTTGATGTGTGATAAAGAAACTCCAACTCTGGGTTTGTGGACGACTCCCTGCGTTACACTCCACAGGTAGGTTGATGTGTGATAAAGAAACTCCAACTCTGGGTTTGTGGATGACTCCCTGCGTTACACTCCACAGGTAGGTTGATGTGTGATAAAGAAACTCCAACTCTGGGTTTGTGGATGACTCCCTGCGTTACACTCCACAGGTAGGTTGATGTGTGATAAAGAAACTCCAACTCTGGGTTTGTGGATGACTCCCTGCGTTACACTCCACAGGTAGGTTGATGTGTGATAAAGAAACTCCAACTCTGGGTTTGTGGATGACTCCCTGCGTTACACTCCACAGGTAGGTTGATGTGTGATAAAGAAACTCCAACTCTGGGTTTGTGGATGACTCCCTGCGTTACACTCCACAGGTAGGTTGATGTGTGATAAAGAAACTCCAACTCTGGGTTTGTGGATGACTCCCTGCGTTACACTCCACAGGTAGGTTGATGTGTGATAAAGAAACTCCAACTCTGGGTTTGTGGATGACTCCCTGCGTTACACTCCACAGGTAGGTTGATGTGTGATAAAGAAACTCCAACTCTGGGTTTGTGGATGACTCCCTGCGTTACACTCCACAGGTAGGTTGATGTGTGATAAAGAAACTCCAACTCTGGGTTTGTGGATGACTCCCTGCGTTACACTCCACAGGTAGGTTGATGTGTGATAAAGAAACTCCAACTCTGGGTTTGTGGATGACTCCCTGCGTTACACTCCACAGGTAGGTTGATGTGTGATAAAGAAACTCCAACTCTGGGTTTGTGGATGACTCCCTGCGTTACACTCCACAGGTAGGTTGATGTGTGATAAAGAAACTCCAACTCTGGGTTTGTGGATGACTCCCTGCGTTACACTCCACAGGTAGGTTGATGTGTGATAAAGAAACTCCAACTCTGGGTTTGTGGATGACTCCCTGCGTTACACTCCACAGGTAGGTTGATGTGTGATAAAGAAACTCCAACTCTGGGTTTGTGGATGACTCCCTGCGTTACACTCCACAGGTAGGTTGATGTGTGATAAAGAAACTCCAACTCTGGGTTTGTGGATGACTCCCTGCGTTACACTCCACAGGTAGGTTGATGTGTGATAAAGAAACTCCAACTCTGGGTTTGTGGATGACTCCCTGCGTTACACTCCACAGGTAGGTTGATGTGTGATAAAGAAACTCCAACTCTGGGTTTGTGGATGACTCCCTGCGTTACACTCCACAGGTAGGTTGATGTGTGATAAAGAAACTCCAACTCTGGGTTTGTGGATGACTCCCTGCGTTACACTCCACAGGTAGGTTGATGTGTGATAAAGAAACTCCAACTCTGGGTTTGTGGATGACTCCCTGCGTTACACTCCACAGGTAGGTTGATGTGTGATAAAGAAACTCCAACTCTGGGTTTGTGGATGACTCCCTGCGTTACACTCCACAGGTAGGTTGATGTGTGATAAAGAAACTCCAACTCTGGGTTTGTGGATGACTCCCTGCGTTACACTCCACAGGTAGGTTGATGTGTGATAAAGAAACTCCAACTCTGGGTTTGTGGATGACTCCCTGCGTTACACTCCACAGGTAGGTTGATGTGTGATAAAGAAACTCCAACTCTGGGTTTGTGGATGACTCCCTGCGTTACACTCCACAGGTAGGTTGATGTGTGATAAAGAAACTCCAACTCTGGGTTTGTGGATGACTCCCTGCGTTACACTCCACAGGTAGGTTGATGTGTGATAAAGAAACTCCAACTCTGGGTTTGTGGATGACTCCCTGCGTTACACTCCACAGGTAGGTTGATGTGTGATAAAGAAACTCCAACTCTGGGTTTGTGGATGACTCCCTGCGTTACACTCCACAGGTAGGTTGATGTGTGATAAAGAAACTCCAACTCTGGGTTTGTGGATGACTCCCTGCGTTACACTCCACAGGTAGGTTGATGTGTGATAAAGAAACTCCAACTCTGGGTTTGTGGATGACTCCCTGCGTTACACTCCACAGGTAGGTTGATGTGTGATAAAGAAACTCCAACTCTGGGTTTGTGGATGACTCCCTGCGTTACACTCCACAGGTAGGTTGATGTGTGATAAAGAAACTCCAACTCTGGGTTTGTGGATGACTCCCTGCGTTACACTCCACAGGTAGGTTGATGTGTGATAAAGAAACTCCAACTCTGGGTTTGTGGATGACTCCCTGCGTTACACTCCACAGGTAGGTTGATGTGTGATAAAGAAACTCCAACTCTGGGTTTGTGGATGACTCCCTGCGTTACACTCCACAGGTAGGTTGATGTGTGATAAAGAAACTCCAACTCTGGGTTTGTGGATGACTCCCTGCGTTACACTCCACAGGTAGGTTGATGTGTGATAAAGAAACTCCAACTCTGGGTTTGTGGATGACTCCCTGCGTTACACTCCACAGGTAGGTTGATGTGTGATAAAGAAACTCCAACTCTGGGTTTGTGGATGACTCCCTGCGTTACACTCCACAGGTAGGTTGATGTGTGATAAAGAAACTCCAACTCTGGGTTTGTGGATGACTCCCTGCGTTACACTCCACAGGTAGGTTGATGTGTGATAAAGAAACTCCAACTCTGGGTTTGTGGATGACTCCCTGCGTTACACTCCACAGGTAGGTTGATGTGTGATAAAGAAACTCCAACTCTGGGTTTGTGGATGACTCCCTGCGTTACACTCCACAGGTAGGTTGATGTGTGATAAAGAAACTCCAACTCTGGGTTTGTGGATGACTCCCTGCGTTACACTCCACAGGTAGGTTGATGTGTGATAAAGAAACTCCAACTCTGGGTTTGTGGATGACTCCCTGCGTTACACTCCACAGGTAGGTTGATGTGTGATAAAGAAACTCCAACTCTGGGTTTGTGGATGACTCCCTGCGTTACACTCCACAGGTAGGTTGATGTGTGATAAAGAAACTCCAACTCTGGGTTTGTGGATGACTCCCTGCGTTACACTCCACAGGTAGGTTGATGTGTGATAAAGAAACTCCAACTCTGGGTTTGTGGATGACTCCCTGCGTTACACTCCACAGGTAGGTTGATGTGTGATAAAGAAACTCCAACTCTGGGTTTGTGGATGACTCCCTGCGTTACACTCCACAGGTAGGTTGATGTGTGATAAAGAAACTCCAACTCTGGGTTTGTGGATGACTCCCTGCGTTACACTCCACAGGTAGGTTGATGTGTGATAAAGAAACTCCAACTCTGGGTTTGTGGATGACTCCCTGCGTTACACTCCACAGGTAGGTTGATGTGTGATAAAGAAACTCCAACTCTGGGTTTGTGGATGACTCCCTGCGTTACACTCCACAGGTAGGTTGATGTGTGATAAAGAAACTCCAACTCTGGGTTTGTGGATGACTCCCTGCGTTACACTCCACAGGTAGGTTGATGTGTGATAAAGAAACTCCAACTCTGGGTTTGTGGATGACTCCCTGCGTTACACTCCACAGGTAGGTTGATGTGTGATAAAGAAACTCCAACTCTGGGTTTGTGGATGACTCCCTGCGTTACACTCCACAGGTAGGTTGATGTGTGATAAAGAAACTCCAACTCTGGGTTTGTGGATGACTCCCTGCGTTACACTCCACAGGTAGGTTGATGTGTGATAAAGAAACTCCAACTCTGGGTTTGTGGATGACTCCCTGCGTTACACTCCACAGGTAGGTTGATGTGTGATAAAGAAACTCCAACTCTGGGTTTGTGGATGACTCCCTGCGTTACACTCCACAGGTAGGTTGATGTGTGATAAAGAAACTCCAACTCTGGGTTTGTGGATGACTCCCTGCGTTACACTCCACAGGTAGGTTGATGTGTGATAAAGAAACTCCAACTCTGGGTTTGTGGATGACTCCCTGCGTTACACTCCACAGGTAGGTTGATGTGTGATAAAGAAACTCCAACTCTGGGTTTGTGGATGACTCCCTGCGTTACACTCCACAGGTAGGTTGATGTGTGATAAAGAAACTCCAACTCTGGGTTTGTGGATGACTCCCTGCGTTACACTCCACAGGTAGGTTGATGTGTGATAAAGAAACTCCAACTCTGGGTTTGTGGATGACTCCCTGCGTTACACTCCACAGGTAGGTTGATGTGTGATAAAGAAACTCCAACTCTGGGTTTGTGGATGACTCCCTGCGTTACACTCCACAGGTAGGTTGATGTGTGATAAAGAAACTCCAACTCTGGGTTTGTGGATGACTCCCTGCGTTACACTCCACAGGTAGGTTGATGTGTGATAAAGAAACTCCAACTCTGGGTTTGTGGATGACTCCCTGCGTTACACTCCACAGGTAGGTTGATGTGTGATAAAGAAACTCCAACTCTGGGTTTGTGGATGACTCCCTGCGTTACACTCCACAGGTAGGTTGATGTGTGATAAAGAAACTCCAACTCTGGGTTTGTGGATGACTCCCTGCGTTACACTCCACAGGTAGGTTGATGTGTGATAAAGAAACTCCAACTCTGGGTTTGTGGATGACTCCCTGCGTTACACTCCACAGGTAGGTTGATGTGATAAAGATTGTGCATTTATATGTGGAACTTATTTGTTATCTAATAAATAACCTTGACCCACTTTCAGGCTTATTGCTGTTATTGGTGTTAAATTTGTTTTTAAAACATACTTTGAGCCTTATTTAGAGTACCCAGTAAGGATATTTGTCATGTAGCTTGCTGAAATGGAAGGCTATCGAGTGTTCTTAAAAGTGAATGACTTTTTATCCACTTTAAAGGCTGATAGAGGTCAAATGTGTTAAAAGTTATTCTATAGAATTATAAGGCCTTTAGTTAGTACCTTGGTATATATATTCTGTAGTTTGCTGGGTTGCAGAGTTTGTTTTTTACAAATGCATGATTTATGCACACTTTCAAGATCACAATTGTCACATGTGTTGAAAATTGCATTACGGCAGAAAGATCAATCCAAGTTATGATATTTGTCTATAAAAACAAAAGCTATGTGGTCGAGATCTTTGGATCTCTTGTTTATTCTTTATTCTTGATATCTGGATACTTCGAATCATTTAACAGGCCCTCAGTCACTTCACGTTTGAGCGATCTGGTCACATGCTGATCGTTGTGGACATACAGGGAGTCGGTGACCTTTACACTGACCCTCAGATACACACTATTGAGGGCAATGAGTATGGGGATGGCAACCTTGGGGCTAAGGGCATGGCCCTCTTCTTCCACTCACACATCTGTAATGACATCTGCAGGAGTCTTGATCTCACTGAGTTTGATCTCTCACCCACGGAACTCGACTCTCACAAAGACATTCTCCGCAATCAGGTAAGTACTTCTCTGTGTTACCATTCTTTTAGTTTCTTTTTCCTGTAATATTTGAAGTGTCTCAACCATTTCATGACAATTGTGTGTCAGAAGTTCACAAAATAACAGTAATAATAATAATTTGAGGTTCTTGTAAACTGCTTTATTACAACCTAATTTGTAGGTCGTCTCAAAGCGCTTCACAAATTATTATCTGTGGTTATAGGGCTTTTGCAACCAGCCAATATCTCATATGTCAACTCCCTGGGGAGCATACAGCCGGTACTGCCATTTCAGCGCTCACAGCTAGCATTCAACAATTCTAGCAATGCCCAACCACATACTCATTTACAGCTGCGTAGACTGGAACAAGCGAAGTAAAGTGTCTGGTTTAAAGATACAACACAGTGCCATAACGTGACTCGAACCCGCAACTCTTCAGTCATGAGCCCGGCGTCCTACCACTAGGCTACTGTGCCTTTAATTCTTCATATCAAAATGGCAAATGACATGACTAATTCAGTAAAAAAAAATCTGATTAGTCCTCTGTTTAAGTGACCAATCAGAATTTACTTGAAATTGTACATAATTACAGGGTATTGTTTTATTGTAAGAGAAATTTTAGCAATCATCCATATACAATTTATGACTTTATATAACCTTGGACTTGTTACAGAGAAAGTCGATGATGAAAACAAGGTTAAGAGGGGACGAGGAACGCTGTATTTCTCTCTCATCTCCTGACACAAAGATTGATATTACTCGTTTCTTGGAGCGCCAGCGATCCAACTCGTCTGTGCTGAGTGACTCAGCGATAGATGAGGAAACTGATGAGGGTATGTCCATTGACAGTCCATCGCCGAGGGTGAGGGTCAGCCGCATGAGGTTCATCAGTGAATCGGAGAGATCAGACAAATCAGACAGCCAATCCTCCATGACAGTAGAGGTACAGTACCTTTATATCACGCTGAAGTTCTCATTATCATTATGTCAAAAACATTACGATATTACTCAATCACCAACTGACTTTCCTTTAAGAAAAGTAGCAGACTAGCCTAGAGTGAAATCATGTTTGTTCTTGGTTCCTTTTCCAGTTAAACAAGACTACCAGCTTTACAAGACTACCAGCAGTAAAGCATTGATAATGCATGCTGGTATAAAATAAGGTTACCTAATGTAAAGCATTCAGAATGCATGCTGGAACAAAATAAGGTAACCTAATGTAAAGCATTCAGAATGCATGCTGGTACAAAATAAGGTTACCACCAGTAAAGCATTCATAATGCATGCTGGTACCAAATATGACTACCGTCGGTAAAGCATTCAGAATGCATGCTGGTACAAAATAAGACTGTTTTCAGTTATGCATAATGCATATATATAAGCTATAAACTGATATTAGCTGTTTGCAGTAACTCTTCTACAATACAATTTACCAGTATTTAAAAGTGATGCAGACAAATCTGTGTATCTTCAGATTGATGGACATGAAATGCATCAGGTGGGAAGAAATTATATACAATAAGTAAAAATACCATTTCCTTGTCACAGCATGCTCTAAATAAAAATCTCAAGGTTTGGATTACAATTTGCACTGTTTCTGTTTCAAACTACCTGTCCAAAGTTGGCACATGTGGAAGACACATTTGATATGCAAGAGTTACTACTAATCTTTTAAATGTTTGACAAGCAATCTGATTGTTGAAGCTCCTATGATACTATTGGCTGCATGGAAAAAGTTTTCAGTGTAATACTGAATACATTTTTGCAGTTTCTACTATTCATTAGTTTGCTTCTATTAATCAAAGTTTGTTGTATATTGTAAAAATTTAAGATTTTCACATTTGATTTCACAAATGCAAATTATTTCACTTATAAATGTTAATATTAGGCACGGTTTGTAAATATGTTTCAGACATTGAAATATTATCACATTTTGAAATTAGCAAATACCATTTTTTTTATCAAAGCATTTTCAGAATAGGATTTTTTCTTTTTCAGTGAGTACAGAATAATTTCATTTACAATGGAGTCAAGACATATTTGGAACTCCTAGATATTGAACATATGTTCTTTCAAAGCATATCAGTCTCAAAAACATGGTTTTCTCCCACGGTAACCCACTAAGTAATAATAATACTAATAATATACAACATTTGATATAGCGCCCTATCTAGCTAACATAAGCCACTCTAAAGCGCTTTACAGTACATAGATGTACAATTAATACAATTATGATGTACAATTTTTGAGGAATTCGCAGGAGCTGCCTGATCAGGCGCTAACTACTAGTCCTATGCCACCTGACTAATATCTCCCTATGTGTGTATGCCTGCGGTTTTGCTGGAGATGTATTGTGTTCTGTTTGTAGTGGGACCGTGCTTCCAACGGCATCTTTTATAATGCCACCTCACTTGAATGCTACATCACAGATACCGCAACATCCACCCCAGACCATTTTATACTACACCTGGGTTGTTGGAGTTGTGTGGGCAGGAGAAAATCACTTTCTCCGATATTCCATGCGTGCGACGACTTTGGGGATTGAACCCCGGCCGCCTGCGTCGAAGGCCGGAGTGTTAACCACTTGACCAATCCGCCCCCTAAGTACTGATTCTTTAACTACATGTATCATATACTTGCATCTATTTTTTTAATGTTTGTATCTACAGGAGGAACGAGAGGCATTCCAAAGAATGGCACAGCAAAGAGCTCGGCCATCTTGTGTTGCTATGGAGATTGACTTCAGGAAACTGATGAATGTAAGGGTCGGTGATTCTACATTAGGAAAGGTAAGTATGGGTTTGTGCTGTCTGTTCTGTGTCCAGGCCTTAAATTTGTATGATTTGGATGGATCTTAATCATACTTAATAATAGTGTTCCTTTTCAACAGAGGGTTTTCCGTTTGTCATCATTATTAAATTCATTTTCCTTTTAAAATGCTATTTGTCCTTAAACTAGCTGCTGAAGGAATATTATAAGAAAATAACCTGATTTGATCTGGAAGATTCTTAGGCCCCAGAAGTCTCAGTATTATATAAATGGAGGGTGTGGCCCCTTGGAGCAGAGAAAGGGGCCCAATATGGGATTTTCCATATATGGTTAAATCTGTGGGCAGACGGGTAGGACCCCATCGAGGGCAGAACGATAGAGCCTAAAAGAGGAAAAAAGCATAAGTATTTTAAACCTGCTTATTCAAGGAATTTGAATCTTATTTAATCTAGGGTATACTAGAAAAGAATAAATTCACATTGCATTAATACTTAAGTCTCTAGGGAAAGAGCCAAACAGTTTAAATGCCTGTTCTTTCAGTACGACAAAGATACTTCAGTCTAAATTAGGCAGATATATGGGTTCAGTAAAGGAAATAGAAATCAATATTTAAAAGACTGTTCTTTTATTACTGATAAAGCAAATATCTTAACCAATTTAAAGGATCCCTGGATCGAGGAAACTCAAAAGTGTATTACAGAAGGGCGTTTGTAATGATTCTCAACTGTCTGTTGTTCCAGCCATCTGTACTGTCGTCTGTTTCTACACAATAACTACAATAACCTCAGTACAATGTATATGTGGGCCAATTCAAACCCGGTATTCATATGGTGTACTCTATATAGAATTAACTTTCTGCACAACAAATCCCTAGGCATGTCAAACTTCAGATGTAGAGTAACCAGCAACAATTTGTGTTATAATAATGGTTAACTCTAACTAAACAAACGAGCATTATCCAAACAACTGTCTATTGCAGATTCATCATGAGATGGCTAAATACCATGAAATAGGCAGATTCGTGGTTGGGCAGGAGAGAAACGAGAAGGACATTGATTGGGAATCAGCCATATTTCACGAGGAGCATGCTGCGGAGCTGGGGGAAATGGAGGCCATGCTTACCCTGTCCAAACTCTATCTGGACATGGAGAGGGAAGTCCTGGTCAGCTGTGTTGTCAAGGTAGGCCAATGGAAGCAAAATGTTGTTTTTGGTCAGTTTAATTTTAGGATGAGAGAGGAAGCAGAGTGTTTCAGAAAGACGTTGCTTAAAGAACTGTGTTTAGTGACTTGTAAACTCGGAACTAAATAACTATAATTGAGTAAACACTAAATGACAGAGGATGATTTGTATGAGAAAGTGAGGAAAAGTTATGATATCATACTTCTGATACAGAGTTCTCTTTGACAAATCTTGACTAATTAGGGCCCCGTATCAGAGATACGGGTGCCCTATAGTAATCACTCTGTCTATCTGTCTGTCTGTCTGTCTGTCTGTCGGTCTGTCTGTCTGTCTGTCTGTCTGTCCGTCCATAAATTTTGTTCCTGGCCGATAACTTTGGTATTTATTGACCGATGTACATGAAACTTGGTCAAGATGTTTAGTTCACAAAAATACACATTGAGGTAAAAAGTCAAGGTCATTAGGTTCAAAGGTCAAGGTCAAATTTTACATCTTTTCACCGATGAACATTTTGTTATGACATTATGAAGCAAAGTTGATCAGAATAAAACAAGGAGTCAACTGACCAAAAGTCAAGGTCATCGTGTCAGGGGTCAAGGTCAAATTTTGTAGCTTTTCACTGGTGAACATTTCGCTATGACATTATGAAGCAAAGTTGTTCGGAATTAAACAAAGAGACACGCCGAGGTAAAAAGTCGAGGCAAAGGGTCAAGGTCATTATATTCAAAGGTCAAGGTCAAATTTTGCATCTTTTCACTGATGAACATTTTGTTATGACATGATGAAGCAAAGTTGATCAGAATTAAACAAGGAGTCAACTGACTGAAGGTCAAGGTCATTGGGTCAAAGGTCAAGGTTAAATTTTGTATCTTTTCACTGGTGAACATTTCGCTATGACACTTTGAAGCAATGTTGTTCAGAACTTAACATAGAGTCAACTGACATTAGGTCCAGGTTACGGGGTCCAAAGGGTCAAGGTCAAGTTTTGTATTTGTCACTGATGAACATTTTGTTATGATATCAAGAAGCAAAGTTGGTCGGAATTAAAGAATAAGTCAATTGACCAAAGTTCAGGGTCACTGGGTTAATGGTCAAGGTCATTTGGGTGCAATGGTCAAAGACATAGTGGATCTCTGACTTTGACCCTGGCTCTTGATGGAGGAGGTGAAATAAAACAAATCAAAGCTAACAAATGAGTATTGCACCGGTATTTACATTTCTGTTAGCCCAGCAAATATGGAGGTGGAAGGAAACAAGACTCACATCATAGTACATGTAAAATGAACTTGCGATTCTTTTTGAAGTCCAAATGTCAAACGTCAAGCTCAGCTATATGGGCAGATTGCTTCTTGATGATTATGGGGGATATATTGCCACAAGACAGGGCCCTTACTGACCTGTCAGTGTTCTAGTTGAGTCTTATATTTGTATTAAGTTTCCTCCCTAATCTAATTTTTTATTGTTTTGTTTTACAGAAGAGTGATGAGAACTTTAACATAGGAGTTGACTACATGGTGGAGGCCGCTGAGGCTGGGGACCGGGAAGCCATGATCTACATGGCTAAAGCATTCGAGACTGGCTATGGCCTTGGCACAAAAAGGTCTGCATTATTTACGAAGTACATTTATACAAAGAAACAAAAATAATGTAAAGATATAATGCAAATCACTTCATTTTGCAGAGAACTTTTTTTTGCTTTAAATCGTAAGAAGACTCATTTACAAATTTAAATCTTAAGCAACTATTATATTAATTCCATAGATTGATTTAATGTCAATATTGAAATAACATCCTCTCATAAGGGAATTATTGTATTTGTGAATAAAACCTACAGATATAGCTCAAAAGGAAGTACACAAACAAATCAACTAATTATCCACAGTAATATATTGATCGGTACGGTTTTGTTAGACATTTTGAAATGCTCATTAAACAACTCTATTACTCCATGAAGAATAACTTTTATTGTTCATTGAAGAATGACTACTCCTTGAAGAATAACTATTATTGTTCATTGAAGAATGACTTCTGGCTCTCTTATGACTTCACTTGGTCATTAATGATGAACCTACATCATAAGAGGTTGCACATTTGTTATCCTAACCCTGTATACACTGACTTTTTCAATCTGTTACCCTATTGAAGCCGAGACAGAATAAATAGTTTATGATAGGAAAGTAAAATGTCCACACTGAGCAAGGGCTTGTTACCTGTTGTGTTGTAGGTCGATATCGTGGGAGGATTCACTGTCCTGGTATGAACGGGCTGTGGAGACCGACAACCATGATGAAGGAGGCGAGTACAGCTGTGCAATGGAGGACCCTATCCATATCCTCATAGCCAAGAAGGCAGAACTGCTCCATACAGGGGGCCATGGGCTGGACAAGGATCCATCAACTGCAGGTACATAGATCAATGTTTCAGTTTGTCTAGCTCTCTTTTAAATGGAAAATGCTGAATTGTGTCAATAAGGACAAATCACAATCTTGTAAACAATGCAAAGTTTTCTGTGCATACACCCTGTATACTTCACACTAGCTGTTGCGGAAAGATATTTTTAGAACATTATCTTCCTTGCTATGTTATGTTCATATAAGTTGCATAGTTTAAAAATTATAAGAGTGTTAAGAGGCTAACTGTTTATGGTGATGTTAATAATGATGGTGATAAATAACTAAGATAATGCAACACCAATAGTGGCCAAGTCAGATATAATGAAACATTGATAGAAATCTTCTGTATTGTAGGGGACTTATACAATGAGGCTGCAGAAGCAGCAATGGCTGCAATGAAGGGAAGACTGGCCAATAAATACTTCGCTCTGGCAGAGGAGGCCTATGGGGAGGTCGAGGAGGAGGAGTGAGGAAGGTTGGTCTGGCTGGACAGGAAGAAGAGTGAGGGGCACTAGTCTGGCAGAGGAGGCCTACGGGGAGGTCGAGGAGGAGTGAGGAAGGTTGGTCTGGCTGGACAGGAAGAAGAGTGAGGGGCACTAGTCTGGCAGAGGAGGCCTATGGGGAGGTCGAGGAGGAGGAGTGAGGAAGGTTGGTCTGGCTGAACAGGAAGAAGAGTGAGGGGCACTAGTCTGGCTGAGGAGGTGTACCGGAGGCCGAGGAAGGAACAGATACAGATGTTAAGCATAACAAATCATGAAGAGTTCTGATAGAAAAGTGATTTCTAGTGTTTCGTCTATCTGTATAGTTATGTAACTGTGTTTTGAAATGTTTTATGTGTAAGCTATGGATAACATAGGAAGAACAGAATGCACAATGTAACATTGTGGTTGTTATACACAGTAGCATGTGTATTATTAGAGACGCTGCTATCACTAAATCAGTGGAGTTATTTGTGAAGGGTTACTTAATGTAAGTCAATTAGTTGTATGATAAAACAATTTTCTACGAAAAGATCTTTGGTGAAGGTTTTGGTATGTTTAATTGGTGGTGTTCCATTCATTGTGTACAAGGATAGCATTGATAAATCCTTTCAGTTATTGGTTTTGTATTGTTTTAACTGAGTTCTGAGACCGACATGTTAATAAAGAATTTCATTAGGAAAACTCTTTTATTTAGATGTCTTTAGCATTAAGACTACAGTATGAAATAATACACCAATATCAGTTAGGACTTGATATACTGATCAGGTAGTCAGCATATTGAATGTATAAAACAGCTTGTTTATCAGACATGAGGTACATATTGTATAGAACAGCTTGTTTATCAGACATGAGGTACATATTGTATAGAACAGCTTGTTTATCAGACATGAGGTACATATTGTATAGAACAGCTTGTTTATCAGACATGAGGTACATATTGTATAGAACAGCTTGTTTATCAGACATGAGGTACATATTGTATAGAACAGCTTGTTTATCAGACATGAGGTACATATTGTATAGAACAGCTTGTTTATCAGACATGAGGTACATATTGTATAGAACAGCTTGTTTATCAGACATGAGGTACATATTGTATAGAACAGCTTGTTTATCAGACATGAGGTACATATTGTATAGAACAGCTTGTTTATCAGACATGAGGTACATATTGTATAGAACAGCTTGTTTATCAGACATGAGGTACATATTGTATACTCTATCCAATCCTGTTGCCAGTTTCCCTACCACCAACCTAGAAACTGACATAAAAACTTAAATACGTGTGTTTAGCTAAAATTTCAGTTCAATATTTTCCAAAATGTTTTGAGACATTTTTACAAATTTTATATAAAACATGTATTGATCTTCTGCACCAGTGATATATTCTGTGATAAATCCCGGTTTTACAATGATAGCAAAGACAATACTCTTGTCTTTAATACCCGTAGTGATCTACAAACAGACTAATTTTCAATGTTTTAGAAAAAGATATTATAGCAAGTGATATTTTATAATGAGATTAGTTAGTCTTCTGTGTAACCACTTTTGTATTTGACATTGTTTTGAATGAAATGTAACTGCCCTCTAAAAGTAAGTCATGTCACCATCTTTTAGACCTTTATTTACATCTGTTTGCGTGTATCATTCTTGATTATGTCCAGCAATGAATGATTGACTCCAGTGTCTCAGAATTCTCTTTTTGAAATGTATATGGCTTCTATTATATGAATTTAACAAAAGAAATATTTCTTTGGATGTCATTGTAAAAACTAAATAGAACTTATTTTTTTGTGAAAAAAATGTGTGAACAGACATTTGTAAACGTTTTGGGGTTTGTTTGTTTGTTTGTGTTTTACGTCCTATTAACAGCTGTGGTCATTTAAGGACGTGCCAGGTTTTGGTGGTGGAGGAAAGCCACCGACTTATGGTCAATACCTGGCGACTGCCCCACGCAGGCCTCCAACCTGCGACCCAGTGGTGGAGGCCTAGTGGTAGCAGAATGTCAGGCGCCTTAACCACTTGGCCACTGCGGCCCCGTTTTGGGTTGGGCGTTTTACCATGTATATAACATATGAATACACATGCATATATGTATAGTATTCGTACATTATAATTGGCATTGTCATGCTTAAACCTCCTGTTGTATGTACATAATCTGTAGTACACTCCTGTGTGACCCATGCTGTGTTTAGTACAACTTTAACTAGCCTAGCTGGATATAAACCTGAAAACCAGTATAAATTAACATTCAGTTTAGATTCACTATTAACTTTGTAAACTGAACCTGCATAATTTGAAAAACTATGTGTTCAGGGGCAAAAATTCAAAGAGCTCATTTTAGACAGTTTTCATTGTGGATTTTAGTAATGTGTATCGTGTTAATTTTTATGTAAAAATTGTTCATATATTCCGTCTTTGCGTATTGCAGAGTTATCTTTTCTTGTGAGCAGGGATTGATTGTTACGTCATTGGTTTGTGTGAGAAAATTACGTTGTTTTCCCAAAAATTGATGACGTTACTCTCACAAACCAATGACGAAACATTCAATACCTGCTCACAAGAGAAGATAACTCTGCAATATGCAAAGACGGAATATAACTACCAACATGCCATATCTTATAGGTGTTACATTTACAGTCTTTATGTTTAAAACATAACTACACATAAAATTAAGTCTTTATGTTTAAAATATAACTACACATAAAATTAAGTCTTTGTTTAAAACAAGAGGAAATGGTTCAAAAAAGTATTCTGATTATTTTTTGTTATATATATGTAGTACTTTGTTCATATCTAACCAATTAACATGTACCTTTACCAAAACCCCTAAAGTATATTCTTGTAACTATTTGTAATGTGCAAGTCATATGTTTTACTCGATTCCATTAGTATGTAGAAGTCACATTGTTACCAGCACACTGGAATGGAGTGTTGTGGTTTGGTGTATTTAATTTGATACAGCAATATTTGGTTCTAATTGAAGTATCAGTGTCCATCTTTTTCTCCTCATGGAGAATATGTGGATTACAATATGCCGTGTACAGTCAGAGATTAGGATTTGATTTGGGACTTGATTGTGCATTTCACCCTTACTTATGGAAACTCAACCAAGAAATTCAGGAAACTTGGAATTGTTTTTTTGTTTTGCTCTTATTTAGCTTTGCCATAGAAATGGATTGCTGCTAAAAGTAAAATTACACACCAGAGGTCAAGTTTGGGGTGGACATTTCTTGGCCTTCCAGGTGAACATTGACATGGTGATTTTGTAATGATGTCTAGGTTAACTGTAGCTGGCTTGAGGTGCCCTGTGCAGTTTTCTCTGTTGACCAGATCTACCTCCTTGTTTCCTAAAATCCTGTGTCTAATTTGCTGAGAAGTAAATAAATAAAATTGTTTGCATGATATGTATGTGTCGCTTGATTTTGCACTACATTCTTGTTTAACTCACCAAATCTTTATTATTGAATCCTTAATTTTCAGGGTGATTTAGTTTCCATTGTCAATTTGTGACAGAAAAAGCCTTTTTTGAAGAATCAGAATTATTTTTGTTCTTGATAGGTCTTAAAGATAATGAACTTTAAAGGCATAGAGAATCTTACTTTTGTTCCATAGCACCTGCTTTCTCCCCAGCATAAGTGATTGATAAAAGTTTTTAGTTCATCTCTAATTTCCTTTACTTTTGAGATTTGATTGCATTTTTTATTAATCTTAATTTAATTAAGTTTTTCATTTTATAAAATATTTTGTTGGTGCTAAGCTCAAGATTTTGATAGAATTGGTGATCATTTTTACCCTATATGAAATAGAGTCCGATGGGGAGGAGGAGAAAGAATTCTGACAATGGGCTTATCAAATTAAAAAGATGAATATGTGTATATTGACTATATAAACAATGGCAAGAATTTATTTTTGTGTTTGATTAATTTTTCAGGTTCTTACAGAGATCTCAATTGTATATTGTGTGTCTTGTTATGTGTTTATCTATGTGCAATTTAACCTGTGAAGATACTAGATATTGAAACATAGCATCCGATTTTGGATATGTTCTCGCGTGTTATGCACGTAACTTTCTTTCTAACCGTAGAAAAGATATACTAAACTTGATAAAACGTTATTACAGCTCTAGATGAATTATCTGATTTTGAAATTGTATTGTCCTTTAGCTAAGACACAAGTAATTGTTCTTGACCATCAAACTAGAACCTGGTACGAACATCCACCAGGAAATCACTCGGGTCTTTGATAATGTGTCCTCACCTACTCTTTACAAAACTTTTTAGTTAAAAAAAGAATATTTGGTGGGGAAGCTTAGTTGTTGTTGACGGTGCTAACAAAGGTTATTCTCTAACTTTTGAGATTTTCATAAAACATCACCCCTTGTTGTATGTCGTTGGTTTTACGTATTAGATTTTATGTTCATTTTCTTGGCTTCTTAATATTTTCACATTTTCTTAAAAATTGCTTCCAGTATTTTTGAAAGGATTTAATTCTGCTTACTGGTAAACATCTCTTCAACTTTCTTGATACAGTGTACATAAAACTGCCATTAAATGTATGTGTACGACACCTAGGCCGTTTATCGCGGTCCAAACAGTTTAATCGGTTGGACCAGAGTTTTTCGTTTATCGCGGTCCAAACAGTTTAATCGGTTGGACCAGAGTTTTTCGTTTATGAAATAAGGTCAGACCCAGTAATCTGATGCTCCTTTCAGGCGTGTCTTAACAAAGCCTTGCAAAGCCACCAGGATTTATACTCAAAAATGTTACATTTAAAAACAGACATAAACGAATAGGCCCCTAGTTAGCTCACCTGGTCCGAAGGACCAAGGTGAGCTTATGCCATACCGTGGCGTCCGTACGTCAACAATTTCTTTAAACGACTTCTTCTTCTTAACCACTGGTTGGAATTAAACTAAATTTGACTGGAAGCATTCCTAGGTGGTGGGGATTCAAAATTGTACAAATGGTGGGGCTGACCCCCCAGGGGGCTGAGGGGCGGGGCCAAAAGGGGTCAATTTGCCCATATTGCTTTAAGCGACTTCTTCTCTGAAACTAAGAAGTGGATATCAACCATATTTGACTGGAAGCATCCCTAGGTGGTGGTGATTAAAAATTGTACAAATGGTGGGGCTGACTCCCCAGGGGGCTAAGGGGCGGGGCCAAAAGGGGGCAATTTGGCTATATTGCTACAAACGACTTCTTCTGTAGAACTGTGCACTGGATATCAATCATATTTGATCAAAAGCATTCCTGGGAGGCAGGGATTTAAAATTGTACAAATGGTGTGGCTGACCCCCCAGGGGGCTGAGGGGCAGGGCCAAAAAGGGTATTTGGCTATACTGCTTTAAGTGACTTCTTCTCTGGAACTAAGTGATGGATATCAACCTTATTTGACTGGAAGCATCTCTAGGTGGTGGAGATTCAAAATTGTACAAACGGTTGGGCTGACCCCCCAGGGGGCTGAGGGGCGGGGCCAAAAGGGGGCAATTTGGTTATATTGCTATAAATGACTTCTTCTGCAGAACTATGCCATGGATATTGATCATATTTGGTCGGAAGTATTCATGGGAGGCAGGGATTCAAAATTGTACAAATGGTGGGGCTGACCCCCCGGGCTAAGGGGTGGGGCCAATAAAATGTATTACTTGGAAATGGTTGAGATCCCCACCATATAACCATATATACAATTGCTGAGTATAAAGAGAAGAATGCACATTTGCTTCCAGGATGTCCCTAGGGTCTGGCCCCACCCTTGGAGACATAGTCCCTGGGCCATAACTTTAAAACGGTTGAGATCCCCACCCCAAAACTATATATACAAATGCTGGGCATAAAGAGACGAATGCAATCATGATATCAGAATAGACCCTGGGGTCTGACCGAACCCCTAGGGACCTAGTTTCTTAGTCACAGCTTGGAAACAGTTGAGAGCCCCACCCTATAACCGTATATATACAATTGCTGAGTATAAAGAGATGATTGCACATATGCTTCCAGGTTGGCCTTGGGGACTGCCCCACCCTTGGAGACTTAACCCCTGGGTCATAACTTTGAAATGGTTAATATCCCCACCCCAAAACTATATATACAATTGTTGGGCATAAAGAGACGAATGCAGTCATGACATTAGAATTGATCCCAGGGTCTGCCCCACCCTTGCAGACTTGGCCCCTGGGTCATAACTTTGAAACGGTTGAGATCCCCACCCCAAAACTATATATACAAATGCTTGGCAAAAAGAGACAAATGCAGTCACGATATTAGAATCGATCCTGTAGTCTGGCCACAACTCTAGGGACCTAGTTTCTGAGTCAAAGCTTGGAAACAGTTGAGATCCCCACCCCATAACCATACATAAAATTGCTGGGCATGAAAAATCTAATATAGCTATGCTACAAGGATTGGCCTTGGGGTCTGGCATATTCCCTTGATCTCATTTGGAGAATATTTTGCCATGATTGCATAGGTATCCAGGTGAGCGATACAGGCCCTCTCTGTCTCTTGTTATAACTATGTGTCCATATTCACAAAAGGGAAATAAACCCCTTCATATTTGGATGTTCAACTAGGTGTCACGGAGATGGTTTTGTCAACTTTAAGTTGGAATCTAAGATGTAATGTATGATATTTCACCTGAGTTAAGACCTCTGGCCCTCTTTCTTTAAGAAGATAGAATGGGCACTAAAGACCTCTGGCCCTCTTTCTTTAAGAAGATAGAATGGGCACTAGGTTTATTCTCAAATTTGACCCTATTTTTGACATTGATTGTAAAATCTGTTTAACATTGGATTGGGCTTAGTACTGAGCATGAGTTTATCAGTGGAAATATCTGTTTAACAAGGGAGTGGGTTTATTGTCATCTAGTAGCTTATCACAAGTGATGAATGGTCATTCTCACTGTTACATCATTACTGTTTTGTGCCTGTCGAGTGGTATACCTTGTGTTAGCATGGGGTACAATACTATATGTACATACCCCTGGGTATTAGAAGAAACTGTGAACCAGCTCTTTCCTACTCATATTTATTGAAGAATACCTTAACCAGTGTATCACGAGAGGTGTTGAGGACATTTGTCAGTCCTTAAAATACTGTGTGATACACAAATCAAGGCGATATTCAAACTATTGCTCATTTCATTGATTCATAATGTTCAGTTTATTAATTCCTTTAACCTGGATTGATTCTGGTTAGATGTAGGATGTCATACAGTAATGAGTGCTTTTGTATGATTTATGTATCTGTCAGAACACCAGGGTATTTACCACAAGTTAATTAGGTATACTGTATCAATTGTAATTCACAACATGCAATGGTGTGCAACTTTTAGGATTATTTTAGTTCTTTCGGAATATTTACGCTACAGGATTATTTGTAAAATCATCCGATGTATCTTGAGTCATATCTATTTTTGTTTTTGTACATCATTAAATGATATAGGGCAAGTTATTGCGTTTGTTGAGAAATTATTTCAATGAATAATATTTTGTAAGTTCAATTGATGTTGGTTGTAATTGAGAATTTCCATGACAATAAATTGGCTAGAGATAAAAAGGTATTTGAAACATTTTTGAAAATAAAAAAGATAAACAGATATTTGTGAAAATAAAAACAAAAAGAAAAGAAAAATATATTGGAGATATGGTCTACTAAAATGGCATCACTTAATTTTAAAATCTAGAAACAGAATGATTGTGATATAAATGTAAAATTTCTCATGGAATTCGAATGTGGGCATTAATTAGGTAGTCTTCCCTTATCAACATCTTATGCATTCCATCTTTAAGAGAATAAAACAGTAGATGTTTTGTTGACACTGCTGATGTTACCAAGCTTGTAGGCAAGACAAAGCTCGATGGTTATTGGAATCTGACGCAAGGTCTTCTTTAATGGGAGTAACTGGGTCAGAAAAAGTTGTTTGTTGGGAAAAAACAGTTTACCAAAAGCTGGTTATTTCTAACTGACCTACTTTATGCAGTGTGACAGATTTGTACTCTTATAACTTTGCTATTTCTGATGATTGTATGTTTCTGTATCGCCAACAGCTGTCCTGTCTTAACTTTTTGACAATAAACCATTTAACCTTAATGTTGTCTTCAGATTTGTTAAAACCTGACCGGTGCTTATGTCATGGTTAGGCATCAGAAATCTACTCCTTTTAATAACTCTTGAAGAACTCTGTACCCTTGAACTAGGACTTCTACTAGGTTGTAATTTGTCATGAAAGCAAACACAGGGTTATGGTTATGGCCAATATCAAAGCTCAAATGTCTGCATATAACAGTAAAATACATATGAAAGGGACAACACTTACTGTATTTTGAAATTTGTGGCGGTATATCGTGATTATACTGTCGCAAATTGAGTTTTACTGATGATGTGGAGAGGAGCCAGTAAAACGGATATTGGGGAAAGTATAATCACATATGACATTGGTGCCGTTACAATGACTATTGTTTTTACTATGTAAGTCCTGATAAGTTATTAAACAATCCTTCAGATACTGACAAAATTAGATTAGATAACATCTTTTCATTAAATAAACAAGAGGCCCAATGGTCCTGCATCGCTCACCTGGTATTAATCTCACACTTGTAATCTTAAAAGTAGACTAAAATACAGCTACAGGCAGAATAGCAGGGTTCGATTCACAAGAACCTATTAAAAGATTTAAACATGAAGCCTGTGTCCTTGAATGTCGAACAAGGACATTAGGTTGAAAGTGGGTCAAGGTCAGTCATTTGAACAAACTTGGTAGCCCTTCAACCCAGTTTGCTTCTGGCCAAATATCATCATCATAAGCCTTTTGGTTATTGAGAAGAAGTCGTTAGAAGATTTTAAGACATCTGACCCCAGTGACCTTGACAGTGGGTCAAGGTCATTTATCCTAGCATGCTACAGGCCCAATATCAGTACCCTGGGCCTTTTGGTTATTAAGAAGTGGTTTGAAGATTTTAAAACATTTGACCCCTGTGACCTTCAAAGCTGGTCAAGGTCATTCATCACAGCATGCTACTGGCCAAATAGCATCATCCTAGGGTTTTCGGTTATTGAGAAGAAGTTGTTTAAAAGTTTTTAACATATTTGACCCCTGTGACCTTGACTATATATAAAAGTCATTCATCCTAGCATGTTACTGGCCAAATATCATTATCCTAGGTCTCTTAGTTATTCAGAAGAAGTTGTTTAAAGATTTTTTAAGACATTGACGCCTGTGACCTTGAAAATAGGTGAAGGTCATTTATTTTAACAAACTTGGTAGCCCTTCAACCCAGTTTGCTTCTGGCCAAATATCATCATCATAAGCCTTTTGGTTATTGAGAAGAAGTTGTTTAAAGTAAAATATTGATGCCGGACGGACAGCGGATCAGGTGAGCTAAAAAAAACTCAAAACACATTAAAAAGAATTAAAGCATTTAATTCCTTTATAGAAATAATTAATAAATACGAATGTCTTCATTATTAAATAGAACTGTATGGAAAAAAACAGCAGACATTCTGATATACATATAACAAACAGGATGGTATGTTGACCTTCAGATGTACATGTAAACTGCATGACACGGATACATTGGTGAATGATTTGTCCGTTCTGTTCAGTGGAAGTCTGGCCGCTGGTAATTTACACTCTGCATGGTGTAACAGCTTTGTACAATGGATGTACAAAATAAAGACCCCAAGGAAAGTTCCAGTATTGCATAGGTGTTAATGACATGGATAATATTTATTGGTTTTCCTTCGTTAAAAATATGTTTATAACCAACAATTACAGGTGTTTCCTTTGCTATGATATGGAAATGTTAATTCTGTGAGCCCATCCGTCTGTATACTGGTGGAGATCTGAGAAGATTATACAGCGATACACGTCCTTGTGAAAGACTTGTGGTATAAAGATGTCTAGGCTATCCTGAGACCAGAAACACTCTTTTCCAGGGACTGAAACAATCAAACACAACTCATAAGCAAACTCCACAGTTTAAATAATTTGCGTGTGTTGAAGTTATTTTTATTTCTGTTTTGTATAGTTTTACAGTCCATCAGCAATTCAACTAGTATTTAGGGCCAATGGAAGCCGCAGAAAATTGTAGGTTAGGATAGATTTTCATACATCATGTTTACTGCATTTGAGATTACTGGTATTGCCACACAGGAAATTAATACTGCAATATACATAATTAAATGTTCTGTAATTGATTGCCAACAGAGGGTGGATTCAATCAGGTATGTGTTTAAAAGATTCAATTTTGCTTTTAATTTAGGGAACAATAGATTGCTTCCACTACCTTTAACCAGATATAAGTTCTGATATACTTTTCTACCCTTTTCCATATTTCTTGTATTGTTACAGAAGACTTACTTTAAAGTCCCAAATGATCATTTGGCCATCTGCTCCTGAGGTAGAGAACTTGGTACAGTCTGCCTTAGTTCCGGCAAACACCGACACTTTGCTGGAGGAGATAAACCAAGAGTTTGTATAAAACTAGAGCACAAGTACCGTCCTTGCAGAGAGTTTTCAGAGTAGCGTAATCAGACAGAGCATGCTTCTAAGAACTCAGTTTTTGCAAGTACCTCAGTTGAGGAGTGTAAAGAATGACAAAAGAACTAGTTTTGATACACACACAACCACAATATGCTATTGTTAAAACTCATTAAACGATGACCAATGTAATGTCAATATACATCTTTGAATATATCAAAAAGGTAGTAAAAAATAATGTAATGAAAATCTTTTTCTTATTCTTTTTGTTGATATATTGGATCATGAAAAATTGTTTGTAAATAGGAAACTGTTTAAGTATTTACTCACGGAAAGGTGCAATGTCCTTATCAACCCAGGATTTTTCAAACGTTTTTGATCAGATTGGAGTTTAAAAAAAAAAAAAAGTAATCTGATATATTTAGATTCATTAATTCATACAAGGAAAATGTTAATGTGCCACCCTAACTATTGTTTTGGCAAATCTAAGAGAATAGGTGGCTTTGATAGGGAGGAAGTTTATTTTTCCTGTACTTATAATCCAAACCTGTCACTTACGTAATGGTGTTTTGATGCTTGGTTTTTATTTCCCCTGTGTTTTCTGCTGTTCCTGTCTTGTCCATCTGACGGAAACGATTCATGGCACTGAAAGACAAACACAGAACAAGTTTAACACAGAAACAAACGGAAACTGATTTTGTTTTCCACTTTAACAACCTGTCAGAAGCCAGTGAATGCTATCTCGTTAAATATCTACTGATCAGACACATCTTTTAGGTTAATCTAACTATAACAAGAGTTCCCCAAACAGTACATATACACTCGCCAACAACATCATGGGAGTTAGGTTGATAGTATCTACTAAATTATCTTATACGACGTGTGAAAATCGAGCTTGCAGATAAGCAAATATTTATTTCCTTGTGATGTCAGGAATACTTTTGTAAGTTTCATGAAAGGTTTAACACTTTAATTAGGAAGCTGTGAACAGGCCAATGTGTAGACAGGATAATGCTTGTATACACTTCTCCAAACGGGGGATATATCAAGTGTTCAAAACCATACTTTCTTAAAAGAGTAAATGTCAAATACCAACAGCCAATCAGATCTATCGTATACTCCTTTAATCTTCACTAAACTTTTGATTCGCTTCAGTTTTGCTATCATTTACCTTTTGGTTGTTAAAATATTCATTTCTTAAAAGATGATCTGATGTGTTATAAGTTAGAACAGGACAGATATGTAAATGGTGTGTGCTGAAACACTGACCATTTATCAAGTTAGGACAGGACAGATATGTAAATGGTGTGTGCTGAAACACTATGCCCATTTATCAAGTTAGGACAGGACAGATATGTAAATGGTGTGTGCTGTGAAACACTGCCCATTTATCAAAGTAAAGGACAGGACAGATATGTAAATGGTGTGTGCTGAAACACTGCCCATTTATCAAGTTAGGACAGAAATTAACAAACTGAAGCTTTATGGATCAGGATGAAAACACTAAACACAAGAATTTCATAAATCTTCTGACCTCATTGTCATTTGGTCCTTCTCCTGTGGAATGTCAAGGTCGGTGATGAAGGTTACTTGTCCATCGTCACTGTGGCTGAAAAGTTTTGGGCAGCAATCGTAACCCTGGAGACAATATACCATAGTGATGGGAATAATAAAACAAAATATATATCACAAGGCCTTATAAATGTAAAATTATTTGTTAAAATGAAAGTTGTATTGTCATAGAAAAGATATGATTTGTGTGTACCATCGCTGCTACCATCTTGTTCTGTAAAGTGTGACTGGTAACCTTATCCTGCAGAAAGTGATCTATCTCTGCTGACTTACCACACAAACCATGCTGTTCTCCGTCACCCAAGTCATACTCATGAAAGGCAGGAAGTGATCTATCTCTGCTGACTAACCACACAAACCATGCTGTTCCCCGTCACCCAAGTCATACTCATGAAAGGCAGGAAGTGATCTATCTCTGCTTACTAACCACACAAACCATGCTGTTCCCCATCACCCAAGTCATACTCATGAAAGTCAGGAAGTGATCTATCTCTGCTTACTAACCACACAAACCATGCTGTTCCCCATCACCCAAGTCATACTCATGAAAGGCGGGAAGTGATCTATCTCTGCTTACTAACCACACAAACCATGCTGTTCCCCGTCGCCCAAGTCATACTCATGAAATGCAGGAAGTAATCTATTTCTGCAGACTTACCACACAAACCATGCTGTTCTCCGTCACCCAAGTCATACTCATGAAAGGCAGGAAGTTTCCTTTTACAACAGCAATTCTAAAAAGATAAAAAGATAAAAAAGCATTACTAGAAAAATGTTAGAAAGGATTCCTCGTAACAGTCTCCTGTTCATCATTTACAGTACATAATCAGAAACCAGAATAAAGGGACGACACTAGATAGACAAATAAAACAGTTACTACAAATATAATAAATGCATCTCAATGCCTGGGCTAACCACAATAATTAAATAAATGCAAAAGGAATAATAGTTAGTGTATCAAGTTATTGATTTTAAAACCTATTTAAATATTGCACAACCATCTTCAGAAATTACCACAAAAATAATCTTTGTTATCCCTCAAAGTGTTATATTAAAAGTAGACAACCTGTCAGATGAGTCTCCATTAACTAAAACAACCCTGTTGTAGTGTTTCAGTGTAACACATGATTTTTCCATAGACAGTATTTTATATCTTGGGTACCAAAATGTTTCTGTAAGAGATGTTACGTTTCAAACATAATTTTGGTCAATCACTGTTACATTCAGTGGAAAGCTCTCTGAATGCCTATCAATCAAGTGTAAAGGTGACCCCTAGCTTAAGAAAGCTGCCTTTTGCAATGTCCACAAACTGCATATGGAACCAAACAGTAATTTTCTTTGGTGAATTATTGAATAATTATGAGACAATCATTCTTATAATTGTAAAATTGAAAATAAAATGCTCATAATTTTTAGAGAAACTTTCTTAACAAGATGTCCATGGGCCATTATGGCCACACAGTCTGTCACACAATTGTAATTTGTTGTGATTTGACAAAAGACAAGATACCCAAGGCCTTAAAGATCACCTGAGTAAAGGACAGCAGTAGTATTGGTCAGAAGTTGGTTCACTGTTACAACAGACCTAGGGCCTTAAAGATCACCCGAGTAAAGGACAGCGGTGGTATTGGCCAGAAGTTGGTTCACTGTTACAACAGACCTAGGGCCTTAAAGATCACCTGAGTAAAGGACAGCGGTAGTATTGGCCAGAAGTTGGTTCACTGTTATAACATTTTAGGAACAAGATGTAAACATTTTCACAAGCCTGAGCAAGTGAACAATGATTTAACTTTAAATATTGGTACATTCTTAGAAGTACTACACCATATATCAAATGTAGATCACTATAACCTATATTTTCCACTTTAATGATTTTGGTAAGATTTCGTCGTTTAACTTCATCTTAATAAAAGTGGGAGCAATCGACATATGTGAGTAACTAATAACAAAAAAAAAATCAAAGTTTTCAATCAGTTATTTTCAGTTTGTATTTAAACACTTTGAGGTCATACTTACTTGTCACCACCGGCCATGGCGACAGACACACTAGCATCATGTCCTACCCACGCCAGCTTCTCTCCACTTGGGGAGAAGGACACATTATGTACCCACCCACCTGTGAAAAGCACAAAGATATGAAAGAGATTTAGATAACAACATTAAAGGTACTAAAAACAACCCAGATCTCCCGTAAGTATTAAGAAGTAACATAACATAAAAACGTGTACATTTATCAATTTTTGATCATTGTGATTTATTTGAAAAGTACATCTACAACACCTTCCTTGTGAGGAAATTGTTGCTAAGCATTGGGGTACTCAGATAACTATTCTTACCTCCACCGTTGGAGTATTCACACATGAGATTTCCGAGAGTCATCTTGGCTCCCCAGGCAGTGGCAGATGGTTTCTGTTCTACGTCCTTGATGTAACCTGAGAAAACTCTGCAACAACGACATAGCAAAATTTCAGAAAATGGACATTATTGAAACTTCAAGAAAATGAGATTTATTCAAGGGTCTCTTGCAATTTATAAATGTTATGACCCAGAGACTAAATCCACAGGGGCAGGCCCAGATCCCAGGTCAAGTCCTGATTTCATGATTGTGGTCATCTCTTCATGCTAAGAAATTATATAGACAGTTATAGCTAAGGTGGAAGTCTCAACTGTTTCTATGTTATGACCAAAGAATGAGGTCCTCAGACCTAGGGCAGGGTACGACCTTGGACTTATCTTGGTAAATAATGTGTGCTTGTTTTTCATGCCTAGCGATTGGATAATACAGGATGGGAGCTCTCTACTATTTCCATATTATGACCCAGGGACTTATTGCCTATTGTCCTTAGTTTTAAACTACATTGTAGACCTTACAATAATGCTTAGATATACAAATTTTCAAAGGATTGAAACCTCCTAAGAAAAGCGTTAAAATAACACTGCCATTAAATTCACCCAGTATACAGTATGTGGTCACCGAGTGGGGATTTCAACTGTTCTAGGTTGGAGGCACGGTAGTCTAGTGGTACATGTAGGTAGCTATTATTCAATGATAACCAACACATACATGAAGTTTTACTTCGAAAGCAATCAGGCAATCAGAACTTGCATTATCATCCAGAAAAGAAATTAAATGCATCTGTTTCTATTTTTAATCCTTTCTAACTTTCAATGAATTCCTGAAAAATAATAACTTAAGGGTCCTTTTTTCAATGATGATCAATAAAAATGTAGGCTAACAGACCTTCAATTATCATCAAGACAAGGAATTTGGCGATGAACAGAAGTGTGGGGCTTTAACATAATTGATATGTGAGAAAATGAAATGACATCTGGTAATATATTGGTCTTACCTTGCCTTGAAGTCAGTGGAGCCTGCTGCCAACAAAATGTTGTTTGGATGCCAGTCAATGCTGAAACACAATCCAGTACAACATTACACAGTACTAAAGATAGCAGACAAAATTACAGTACTCTTGACAATGAGAGAAGTTCCGCATCAAATGTGAAAAGGCACAAGGGGCCTGTATCCCTAAACTGTTATTCAATGTTTCCTCAGGGTCATGCCTGGTTGTTTGTCAACTTTATTTTAATTCTGCTATACTGAGATTGCATAGCATCTAGACAGACTTGTTACTCCAAAATCTCTCAGAAAATCAAAGTTCAGGCCACTATCTTGCATTTTGAAACAGCTCAAAAATTTACAATACATACTCGAGACACGTAGAGAATGTTTTAAGCTGTCTCGTTTAAATTAAAAACTTGAAAAAAAGGTTAAAAATGTCTCTGCCAGTCAGAGGATAGGGAAGCTGTCCTGGATTTTGAATCATTTCAAAAAAGCAAAAATCACTTGCACATAGCTAGGCAATGATCATTTGCACCATCTTCCGTTAAAATTGGCATCACTGAACAGGAGTACAAGTGGAATTTGTTGTAGAGATGATCCATACCAAATTAGGATAAATTCCTTCATCCCTTTTCAGGAGCATTCTTCTATAGATTTTCTTACCAATCATCCCTATTAGGCTTATTCTATTAGACTTCACTTATACATCCTAGTAATTGTTCAAATGTCCTTGCCAGAATATTACATGGATACCAACCATAATATTGGCTTCATACTGAAATATTACGTATGTTGATTGTCATGTTTAATAAACAAATCTGTACATATTATGTTACTTTTATGTATTTGGATGACAGAGATAATAGGCCTGGCAGATGAAAATAAAGATTTCATGTCAAGTTGGGCATGGACATAGGTGAAGGGGTGGATGGATTTTCTAAGCCTGTAGAAAAGTTAACTATACTACATAAGTTTCCATTAGCTTACCATGTAACAGTTGATCGTATTGGCTTACCATGTAACAGTTGATCATATTGGCTTACCATGTAACAGTTGATCATATTGACTTACCATGTAACAGTTGATCTTATTGGCTTACCATGTAACAGTTGATCTTATTGGCTTATCATGTAACAGTTGATCGTTTGCTTACCATATAACAGTTGATCGTGTTGACTTACCATGTAACAGTTGATCTTATTGGTTTACCATGTAACAGTTGATCTTATTGGCTTATCATGTAACAGTTGATCGTTTGCTTACCATGTAACAGTTGATCGTGTTGGCTTACCATGTAACATTTGATCTTATTGGCTTACCATGTAACAGTTTATCGTATTGGCTTATCATGTAACAGTTGATCTTATTGGTTTACCATGTAACAGTTGATCTTATTGGCTTACCATGTAACAGTTGATCGTTTACTTACCATGTAACAGTTGATCTTATTAGCTTACCATGTAACAGTTGTTCTTCTTATGCTTACCATGTAACAGTTGATCGTGTTGGCTTACCATGTAACAGTTGATCTTATTGGCTTACCATGTAACAGTTTATCGTATTGGCTTATCATGTAACAGTTGATCTTATTGGTTTACCATGTAACAGTTGATCTTATTGGCTTATCATGTAACAGTTGATCGTTTGATTACCATGTAACAGTTGATCGTGTTGGCTTACCATGTAACAGTTGATTGTATTGGCCTACCATGTAACAGTTGATCTTATTGGCTTACCATGTAACAGTTGATCTTATTGGCTTACCATGTAACAGGTGATCATATTGGCTTACCATGTAACAGTTGATCGTTTACTTACCATGTAACAGTTGATCGTATTGGCTTCTTGATGTGTTTACTGACCCACCACTTATTTTCTTCTTCGAAGTAGCAAATGGAGATGATACGAGCACCACTCCCAACTGCAAATTTGTTCTCTGGAACAAGTAATAGTCATATGAGCTGAACATTTTTCATGGAAACGTGTTTTAAGTGTTGTACAGAAATATTTATTTCTAAGCTGTAATATTAGGTGTCCTGATAATTAAATGACCTATTGATATGTGGACTGAAATAATATTTCGAAAAACAAAGTCACAATAATGCCAATTATTCAAATTTGAAGGTTTTAGTGAAAAAGGTGTTTCTTACCATCTGGTGACCAGCGTACACAGGTTGCAGCACGGTTGATTCTTAAGATGACAAGGACTGGCTTCCATTGACCATTACCTTGGAGAGTCCAAACATAGGCATTCCTGTCCTGGAATATCAAAATTAGTTTTTATTAGAATGAAGGCCTTACTTGGTAATGTAACAAAAAGGTAAGTCTGACAATTTAAGAAATGAATAATGAAAATATATTGCCACGATCTAGCTCTTCAGGAAAAAGAATTATTTATAAAAAATGGCATTCAGATATGGTACCATAGCTACTAGTGTATACTGTAACAGACCTTGGTATCATTATCTCTTTCAGTCTTAAACCAACTTTTTGATTATTCCAAATAACATCAGTAGTGAGGTTTTATAGGATTATTCGTTAAGATAGAACTTACAGCACCACACGTGACTATGCTGTTACTTTTTTGTGCCCAGTCGATACTAGTGACTCGCTGACCATGTTCTTGCAGGGTGGCAGTGTTATTGTAAGTGATGCCCGTCTTCTTGTATACCTTCACCTCATGATTATTGAGGGACACAGCAACCTCTATTACAGGATGAAAAATCATTAGTTCAAGGTGTAATTATATAATGCATCTGTCTAGGTACATCCTGGAACAAGCTATAGGAGCCAACTCTGTCTAGGTACATCCTGGAACAAGCTTTAGGAGCCAGCTCTGACTAGGTACATCCTGGAACAAGCTATAGGAGCCAACTGTCTAGGTACATCCTGGAACAAGCTATAGGAGCCACCTCTGTCTAGGTACATCCTGGAAAAGCTTTAGGAGCCAAATCTGATTAGGAACATCCTGGAACAAGCTTTAGGAGCCAGCTCTGTCTAGGTACCTCCTGGAACAAGCTATTGGAGCCAACTCTGACTAGGTACATCCTGTACCAAGCTATAGGAGCCAACTCTGTATAGGTACATCCTGGAACAAGCTATTGGAGCCAACTCTGTCTAGGTACATCCTGGAACAAACTATAGGAGCCAACTCTGACTAGGTACATCCTGGAACAAGCTATAGGAGCCAACTGTCTAGGTACATCCTGGAACAAGCTATTGGAGCCAACTCTGACTAGGTACATCCTGGAACAAGCTATAGGAGCCAACTCTGTCTAGGTACATCCTGGAACAAGCTATAGGAGCCAACTCTGTCTAGGTACATCCTGGAACAAGCTATAGGAGCCAAACACCCCTAGACCTAATAATCTTAAAGCTTGATTTGTATTAACCAATTACTTCACAAGTTATATCGGATTTTATTCATAGGTGTATTTAACACAATTAATTCACTCAGTTGTCTAAAAGAAAAATCTATGTAATTTTCCTACTGATTTGATTTTAATTGTCTATCACAAAAGGAATATTCAAATATATCGAAAACAATAACAAGAGGGCAAGGAGCCTTGGCAACCACTTAAGCTTACAGTATTCTCAATGGTCTTATCTAGGAAATAAAACTATAGGGGTACATTAATTTAGAAGTTGTTTAAAGATTAAAACATGGAATTGTCATCATGATGATACTATACATCAAATCTGTTAAAAACTAACAACCATTTCAGGAGGATTAGTCTTTTAAGACTCCAATCTTCAACTAATCTTTGACCCTGGCAGCCAGTTCTCAAAGACGACCTTTTACTTAAACACAATACATTTGTAAATACTTGTAAACATGTACATGGCTATGTTCACAACATGGATCTATTACTCCTATAACTGAACTGTCTGACCTGTAGAAGTCATCATCCATTGTCAGATACCCAGGGTTGGTGCTCACAACATGGATATATTACCCCTATAACTGAACTGTCTGACCTGTAGGAGTCATCATCCATCGTCAGATACCCAGAATCAGTGTTCACAACATGGATATATTACCCCTAAGACTGAACTGTCTGACCTGTAGGAGTCATCATCCATTGTCAGATACCCAGGGTTGGTGCTCACAACATGGATCTATTACCCCTATAACTAAACTGTCTGATCTGTAGGAGTCATCATCCATCGTCAGTGTCGCACAATCGAATGTTGGTATCCAACAATGTTTACTATCATACTATGTCGTAAAATTACAATTGAATCTTTGACTATTCTGTAGAAACAGAAAAATTTAAGTATAACAATTATAAACTGATCCTTTACTGCCCTTAGAACATTATTTTTAAGAACATTTGAATGGGTACATGACAATTAAAAGACATAATTTCATTGCGACTTAACAAGTATTCTTACCCGAGCGATCCCTGTTCCAAGCATGAGTAGTGACTGGATCTACACCAAAGCTGAATGTCTCTGGCATCGTCAAGCAGTTTTCTGCTAAAAAGATGTTATCAGTATCACAGTAACCAGTAAGACCATAGGAAAAGCAACAGACAAACAAAAAGGCCAGTATGACAGAGGGATTAAGCGAAAGTTGAAACTGGAGACTGGGTCCTAGTTAGAAAGCTTGTCCACAAGGGAAAACAAATTAGCAGGCAAGTGGGGGACACCGTTTACAAAGTCGAGGAGACAGACCCAACACTGATGTTCCTATTTTCGTGATAAAACCTGAGATAGGAAGTGGCCATGTACACTAGGTCCTTACACCGTCACTTACTCTTGTTTGAGACCTTGCATGATTAGCAGAATTAAACTATTTCCGAGCCAAGACAAGGAAATACAAACTGGTGGAGGACAACACTAATGAAGAAGTAGACAAAAATGACAGTGATGATGAATACATGATTGTGTGGTAGGACGAGGAATATTGATAAAGATAGTGCTGTCGCTGGGGCTTGAACCAGCGACCCTTGGCTCTCCAGCCCGATGCTCTACCGCTGAGCTAAAGGGAAATTCCCTACAGCTATCGCTTGTAAGGCAACCTAATCAATGTACATCTTTTACACTATTCACCCCTTTTTCGATCACCAACCCAGGTTCTTTGACTCCCTGCCAAGGATTCTCCTACCTTGAACGGGGAGGATCAACGCCACCAGTTTGTAGTAGGACGATATCTAGTTGGGTGCAATAATATATCACATATAATTCAGAACCCGAGCACCTGTGATTGTAAGAGAGTTAATGACAATGTACAATATTTTGTTTTCAAACTCTTAGCCCTTTTATCTATATATTTAAGCCGGCGAATGCATCAACAACATAGTCTCCTATTTATTTCATATGGTAAATATACGCTAATAAATATAACATTATGAATCGTAAATATTAATTTCCTGTTCACTGTCAATCTGATAGGCGGGCGGATGATTCATCTTTGAGCTGAACAGCTGAACAGTTTTGCATTCTACCACTGATTCCGTCATTCTACGTATCAATGTTCTGCCATAAGGTTACAATAAACGATATGAAGATAAAACATGAACTCGTCAATTTACCAAAGTGTTATTGATTAGTAATCCAGTATCCGTGGACTCTGGCCAGTCAACACGAATGTCTCCTCCAAATGATCAGACAATCTTCCAAAGACCAATGCGGAAGCAACACGCCCGGTGTTTGATGTGATAACCCACATACATGTTGATAAATTGACACATTAAATTAAAAATAAACAAATATATTAATCTAAATAACCTAACAGTAGCATTTTAATAATTTTGTTATCCATATATTTTATTTTCTCTTTAAAGAAATTATTTCATTTAATTTTTACGAAGATAAATTGATTTATTACCGATACTTCATGTGTGCTGGGTTCAGAGGTTCAGAAAGGTCAAGGGTCAGAACAAACTTCCTCGATACCTACAAATCCCGGCCTACACATCCTGCCATGTGGATTAGCTGTCAAGATGCAATGCATGCGTGTCTTCACACTTATGTGTATATTGTTATTATCTTCAAACACGACCTATGTGACAGGAGATGACGAAGAGGACGAAGATCCCGTGAAAAAGGCAACTTTATGTGAAGGTAAGATGATCTTATGGTACACTGTCAAAGTGAAAGTGAATCATTTCATTGCATTTTGATCAAACATGCACGTCAGAAAATGTATATGTATTGGCATTTCCCGGATGGAATGGTACCTATCTGTGCATTCTTGTAAGATTATAGATTCCATTCGTTACAGAATTTACATCATTTCAAAGTTTCCCTGGTGATAGATTAGAATATTGGGAGAACTTAGTTGTCTCCCTTGAATTGATAAACTACACCTTCCTTGATTCAAAGATTTTGATACAATGTTACAACGACAAACAAAGATTTTCTTCCATGTACTAATACTATCCATGATTTATTTTGAAAGTGGAATATGAAGTTGAATCATTGATTCCCAATTGCACTGCAGTGTGTTCATTTGAATACGAAACACTGTCATTGTGGATTTCAAGGCAAACACACACACTTGCTTACTATACCATATCTTAAAAATATTTTTTAAATAATGATGAATTTAGTCTTGATTCAAATCCTTTTAGCTCAAAAACCAATGTGAGCATATACCTCACTCTGGGCATCTGTCCATTGTCCGTCCATCTATCTGTCGTCTGTCCACCGACAATTTCTTCCAACAACTTCTTCTAATGAACCGCTGATAATATATATATTAATCTTACAACAATTATCAAACAAGTTATGCATCAACTTATATTCAACATTCTTGTTGGCCTGAACGTTAGGGTGCAGGGGATCTTGATGTGTGAGGAAATCAGAGTACCCAGAGAGATAAATATATATATGTATAATATATATAGCCTCTATAAATGTGATGAAATATCAAATGTCACAAAAAAAGTTTTTAAAGAGTTAAAGGCCCACATGGGAAATATTAAGTTATTTACAAAACTCCAAGATTACTAAAACTGCAGTTAGAGGACCCATGGACCAATCTTCCAATTTTGAGAGAGTGATACTTCGTCCAAAACCCAGTCCACTTTACGGTGACATACTGAGGTATATGCCTGGACTTGTTGTCTGCAGTAGCATGAAGGTGGGCTTCTAGCTCTTTCTAAAAAAACTGCATCCGCCTCAGTCATCCATAGATGTATCTCATATACAATATCCTATAAAATCAATTTACTTGTCAAACACTGACATGTCAAAATACAAGCTCCCCCGAAAATTGATTATACCATATATCATATGTGACTTGATTACTCCATTGCCCAAATCTGGCCATAATGCTTTTGAAAGTTTTCCAATTTCTTTTACATAGTGATACACACCAGAAACGATACCCATGATTCAAATGATATGCAATAGCAGCACATTCCAGGTTTATCTGTTGTAATGTATTTGACTAGAGTAGTTCAGTTAGAACAGCCATTTTCTGTCTTTAACCAATAAAAAAAAATCTTTTCTAATTCTTTCCCTCAATATTGTTATGGTTTGCCAATCACGTGGTGCATAGGATCTGTCAACAAAGTAAAGGGAGGTAAATTTCAAATTCTTCTAAATGTGAACATTCCTTCAACAGTATATGTAATTATGTATGTTATTCAATGGAGAAATTAGTATAAAACATTATGTGAAACATTGTTATTGTAATACTATATGTATATGTTCATATTTTCCCCCCAACAGTTTGTAAATTCTTAGCCACTGAGCTAAGTGATAGGTTACATGAAACCGGCAAATCGAAAGAGGTGTTGGAAACTGGTCATGGCCTGGACAAAAAGAAGAAGAGAGTTAAATATCAGACGTCGTAAGTTTGCCTGTATATCAGACATAATTAGTTTTCCTGTTGTATATAAGACATGCTAAGAACCTACATGTTGTTCATCAGATAATGTAAGTTTCCTTGTAAAATGTTTGACATTATAACTCTTCCTTCCTGTTAAATATTGGACCTTGAAGTTCTGCCCTGTAAAACACTCTGCGGTGCAGGGTCAGACTTTCATAGAGTGCAGTACTGTTATATATTTTGAATCCCTTTGTTGTAATTATGGATTTCAAAAGATGTTACCAAGTTAAGTAACTCTGAAATAATTAAAAAAAAAAGAAGAGCTGACCAGGAACCCTTTTATACTTGAGTTCATAAGACAAGGAAGTTTGAAAGGATATTACTGAAAGTGATTGTCCCTAATTGTTCTTCCTTAGAAATGTTTAAATTTAGTGGATTAATCTACCAGTTTTTAACCCTGAAGGGCCAAGTGAGTTAATTTAAGCCATGCCATGGCATCCGTCATCCATCTGTCCATCGGGCATCAACTTTTTTGTAAGGCACTTCTACTCAATAACCAATAGGCCTAGGGTGAGGATATTTGGCCAATAGCAAACTGGGACGAAGGGCTATTAAATTTGTTCAAATAAATGACCTTGACCCACTTTTTAGATCACTAGAGTCAAATATGTTAAAATCTTAAAACAACTTCTTCTGGAATAACCGAAAGGCCCAGAGTGATGATATCTGTCCAGTAGTTTACACTGGTATGAAGGGCTAACAAGTTTGTTCAAATGAATTACCTTGACCTTATTTCAATGTCACTGAGGTCAAGTGATTAACAAAAATATTCCAACTACTTCTGCTGAAGAACCAAAAAACCTAGGGTGATGATATTTGGCCAGTAGCATGCTACCAAATTTGTTCAATTTAATGACCTTGAACCATAAGGGTCAAATATGTTAAAATATCCAAACAACTCCTCTGAATAACCAAAAGGCCCAGGGTGATGTTATTTGGCCAGAAGCATGATTGGATAAGCAACTGCGAAGTTTGTTCAAATGAGTGACCTTGTCCCAACTTTAAGGTCACGGGGGACAGATTATTTAATTTTTAACCACCTCTCCAGAATAACCAAAAGGCCCAGGATGATGATAATCTGGCAAGTAGTTTGCTGCTATGAAGGGCTTCTAAGTTTGTTTAAATGAGTGACCTGGGTCCACTTTTAAGATCACTGAGGTCAAATAGTTAAAAAATATTCCAACAACTTTTTCTGAATAACAAAAAAGCCTAGGGTGATGATATTTGGTCAGAAGCATGATGGTATGAAGGGCTACCAAGTTTATTGAATAGAAGGACCTTGAGGATAATGTAAGTTGTAAAACCTGTCTAAACAGAACAAAACAACATTTATACAACAATGTTTACACTAATGTCAAAGGTTGTGTTGTGGATTTTTCATGGTTCAGATCAGACATGCAACACTTCAGCTTTACATACATATGTTCATGTATGCTAAGTTTGTATTTTAATTTGATAATGGTTCATAGTAAAAAATAATTCATCAAAATTTTTAACTACATTGAAGTATTTATATAAATACTGGTAGTCACTCTGATGGATCTTCTTATTTCAGGGAGTTGAGATTGATAGAAGCCCTCCAAGAGCCTCATATATGTGAAAAAATCCTGAAGTATAAAGTCCACAAGGAAAAGAAGGGATCACTGAGATTTAACAAAAAGGAAAGTGAAACTATGGAAACCCTGCATGGTTTAGTGTGAGTTTGCAGGATTTGTTATCATGGTTCTACTGGATACAATGTATATCAACATGCAGTAACGATTGAACATGTAAAAATGGATAAGTGTTGTTCTTAATCACAATACTAACTGTCTTGTACTACACCAATGATTAAAACCCCTGTAACATATTCAGTGGGGATTGGGGCTTTACCAGAGGGATATCAGAGTGGCTGTGGCAATTTGTCTGTGGATGGAAGATTGTCCAACACACCTGTGCTTATCTTCTCAACCAATTTTCATGAAACTAAATGCATATGATTAGTCTTTGGTAGATGTGTAATTGCTATTTATATTTGATTCCAACACTTTTGTTTGGAGTTATGTATTTTTTCTGATAAATGTAACATGATATTGTCCAAAAAAGTCATGAACTCTGCCTGTAAGACACCTTTACCTATCACTTGGTTTGTAGAGCACAGGACAGAAGTCAAGGAAAAACTTAACTGGTAATCTAGATGTACAGGGCTGATAAGAATGTGCTATAGGCTTGCTAGGCATCTCTTGTTTTGTGTTGACCAACAACTATTTTCCCTCTGTAGGAACAAGGGAGTGAAGGTAGACCTGGGCATTCCTATGGAGATGTGGGACACACCCTCTGCTGAGGTTACTGACATGCAAAGGAAGGTCAGTTAAAAAACGCCAGATGAAACACTTAGGAATGTAAATCCATGTATTGGTTTTTATTAGGTGATCTATTGCGATCGCCTTTTGTCCGTCGTCGTGCGTCCGTAAACAATTTACATTTTCGACTTCTTCTCCAAAACCCCCAAACCAATTTCAATGAAATTTTGCAGAAAACTTTCATGGCCAAAGGTCAACAAAAATGGTGGCTGATTTGGTCCCCAGCCCCCAGGGTCCAAAAAGGGTCAAATTGACTAAAATTTCAAAAATCTTATTATGGTTTAAAATGGCAAGTGATACTTTGAATATTACATGTTAATAACATGATTGGAATTATAACTCTGAGTTGACAGTTTAATACTATGAACATTTTGAGCCAGCCCTACCCCCAAGGGCTGAAGTGTGGGGCCCAAAGGAGTCAGTGTGCTAAAATTTCTTCATTTTCCTTGTTTAGAATCAGAGGTGCTAGTTTCAAATGCTTTTCAGTCTTAAATCTGTATGCTAGATATTGAATAAGGTGGTTTTTGTGTCGCCTACGAAAAGCTGGTCCGAAGGTCAAAGGTCAAGGTCACTGTTACTATAAATAGAAAATCTGTTTTCGTGCGATAACTTGAGTTTCCTTGGGCCGATCAAACTCAAACTTCATGCAGTGATAAGCATACTTGCATTTTCAAGAAAAAAATTATGGATACCAATGAGGCGAATCTATTTCTTGTAATCTCCCAGCTTCCTGCGCAGGCGACACATCCACTTCCGTGAAATTCTTGTATCGTTTTTTGTCACTTTGAATAATATTTCTGTTCATGTTAAAAACAAAATCAACTCTCTGTATTAATATATCAGATGACCGTTAAGGCCCATGGGCCTCTTGATTATCTATTTGTTCGTTTATCTATATAAATACTGTTCTACATTTTTGGGACACCCGTGTTGAAGGCTTGTGTGACCTTTATCAATATTTGGTTAATATCATATAACCTCCATGGAAGGGGTAGGATTTTAAAGATATGCATAAATTTCTAACTTGGGGATAATAATATAACACATTGATTTGCCTGCAAGGGTCCCATGACCAACAAATGTCAGATGTGTTTCGAAATTTAAATGAATGGGTGGTGGGTTGGTGCGGTGGATAAGACACTTGCCTTTCATCAGAGTACCCGGAGATTCATCAGAATACCCATAAACCTGGGTCGTCTTAAGCTCGGAGAAAGGCTAGTGCACTATTTACTGCAGAATTAAAGAGGTATACTCCCAAAATAACTCTTAGCATTGAACTGCATCCACAAAGCTGTATATTGGGTACCTGTAGCCTTTGGAAGACAACTTCTATTGATCAGTGTCATTGTTTACAGTGTTTTAAGATGGTAGAGGACCATGAGGAGGACATTGAGGACTGGTACTTCCACAACCAGCACCGTGACATCATGGACTACCTGTGTGCTGATCTGGTGCTTGGCAGGGCCAACAAAGGTACATTTTCCTCTTTTTAATGTTTATGCATGTAAATGCATAGTTTAAAATATTTGTTTGTAGACAGATATTCTGGGTGGTTTTTTCCTGTTTCAGAGGTTTAATAGTTTTCTGTTCCTTGGGTAATTATGTGTTTTGGCATTAATCTCTCTAAATTTCCTTTCCAGTCGTGACCCACCGGAAGTGTATCTTCAATTTGATCTCCTTTTAAAAGGTGCCTTATCACTGTGTTTGTTTTATTTAATTGACATCCTGTTTCATTGATGCAAAATTTCTCTGTACCATTGGTAGTGACATTGATATTTTCTTGAAGACTTTCAACTGGACTAATATTTACAGAAACTGGTAGTAAAAAGAAAACAGAGAAAATCTCTATATGAATGAGATGAAAATTTCAGCATAGTGTTTTTTCAAAAGATAGACTTTTGTAAATGTTTTGTTTGTTTGTTCAGGCCCCAACAAGTATCATCAACACAGCAATTAGTCAAAGTTACAAATGCCTGTAAAACAAATATTTCTCTTGGAGATTCCTATCAGCTGGTATAGTCATGCAGTATATTTAATAGTGTGCATTTGAGAGTCTTGTATGTTTAAAGATTTTTTTTCGATTTAAATCCTTTGGCTTGGCCATCCATGTCCCCCACCCCCAAACCCACCCCCACAATCCCCAAATACTCCTACTCCTGTCTGTATCACACAGGGTGACATGCACCCTTGATCAATACACCATCCACCATCAAATAGCACAGAATGGTTCAAAATGTTCATACTTTGTGTTTGGTTTTAAGAGTGCCTGTATGAATCTGATGCTCCACAACTAGAGGATTCCTCAGACTCAGAAAATCAAGATAAAAAGCCAAGGTCTAAGATAAATAAAGGTAAGGTATTATACAAAGTTACATTTGATGTTTCTAACAGTGAATGTAGCCCACCATCATCAGACAATTGACTGTTCAAATCGCTCTCCGTTCATGGCATGTTGTCCATCCTTCCTTAAACAGTTCTTGTTAGCACTATTTCTCAGAATGTATTGGAAGTATCAATTTCACATGGAGGTTCACATGGCCTTTTGTTGTGCATATTGAATTTAGGTAATGATTGGAAAACCAAGCTGGCCATAACCTGGCAATCTTGAATTTCAAGAGTTTCAGTTTGTGAGCACTATATCTCACAGAGTACTAGAGGGATCTTTATAGTTGTGCATGTTTCATTTTGAGACATTCACCAGACAGCCATCTTGAATTTTGACATCTGAAGTTGTACATGTTTCATATTGAGACTGATAAGAAAAAAATATGACTTCCAGCTGCAGCAGACATCTTGCATTTGTTCAGTTTGTTATCGTCAATTTCCCGAGAGTTTGACTGATCCTTCTCAAATATCAAATGTAGTTTCCCTTTGTACAAACAAAATTAAGTTCCATGCTAATTTATAGGTCAAATGACAGCCTCACTTTGAGAGGACGCCATACACAGTAGTATTATGGTTTTTACCACAAGATGTATTTACTGTTGACATGACTCAATCCTACTGCTAAGATAAAAGAAGATACAAGATCAAACTTACATCATAGAAGTAATGCCGATCTTATGATGGTGAACATCAAAACTCCTCTGGGGTGTCTTGTTATAATTACCTGTTCATCATGTTAAAGTTATTTTAACCTTGTACCATTAAATGTATCATTTTAAACGAGCACAGGTTAGATTTTTGTTTAATGGTTGTTTGATTGTTTTTCAGGAAAGTCAAAAGGTGAGAAGGGAGATAAATTCCAAGAAAATGGTAGAGATGAACTTTAATGACTACAAGTACGCAAGTACTAAAATCTCAGATATGCGTTTGTAATCTCCTGAATGCAAGTGCTAAACACTCAAAGTAGATGTGTTATCTCAGGATAGATTGGTTCGAATCTCTAGGACAGGCGTTATCAAATCCCTGGAACAAGTACATTCAAGCAGACGGATCAAATTGAACATTAATTCAGAGAAGGGATTACGAATGATCTGCTGGAAGCTAAAAATATTACATGTTAAGACTCAACTTGCTGAAGGACTTAGTGTGCTTATGCAATGCTGAAGTGTCAGCCATTCTTCATCAACTATTCCTGAAGGGACTGGACTTAATCTTTTATGGAGCATTCCTGAGCCATCTGGATTCATTCATGCAAAAATAAAGGACTGATTTTAAATTCAAGATATGATCCCTCTGTCATCTGATCGGCTAAGGCATTTTTTAACTTTTCAAGATCAGCATTACAAATTCTAACCAGATTTGGAATAAACAATTCTTTAATGATCCTGAAAGGTTTTTTTATTACTTTTTGGTTGATTCAAAATTCAAGAGGGTCATTATTTCCTCTGATTTGCCAAAACATTTTCAATTTTTGCTCAAGCTAAAGCCACCACTATAAATAGAATCAGTGTGAATAATCCAATACTGGTCCAGAATATGGGTTTTAATCTTAGGATTGATATAAAACCTATAATGGCCACCTTAGCAATTCTTTAACCAAGTAACTTATTTGGATGAAATAAGTTGGTGAGCCACGCTGCCTTTTTGATATGCAACTGCCAGTTACCATGCTGTACTTAACATAGTAATTTTTGTTAATAGAGTAAACAATGTGTTAATACACGTTAGAGGGCTGACTCTCACAAACCAAGTGTTCACTAGCTTTTATATATCGTTTTGTCTGTTCTAGGTTGTAATATATTTAGATAGTTAAGTGATCATGATTTTTCAGTACATCTACAGCTGACACCTTGGGTACCAAAGGAACCAAAAGCCATTTGGGAAGATTTGTTGATTCAGAATATTTTGTTGATCCTTTGATTTGAAGAGTTCCCAGTGAAACAAGAGCTATCAGCATTCCGAAATGTTTCATATGGTTTTAGAAAATGAAAAAAATAATCTTGTCTGCTTACCGCTTAAAATGTCCAAGGTTTCTGCTAATAATTTCAAATAGCTATACATAATTATTATATTTCATAAGTAAACCATACTGTAAGTACTGTATAATGATTAAACAGTAGCTCTGTTTCATTAAGTTATGTACATTGTTTCCTTGTTGTACATCAGCTCTGTCCATCACCATCTCCACTTGTTGAATGAAAAATGCCAGCTTTTAATTAAATTATTTTTCCATATTACTAAATGTGATTTTGACTTGTTCTTTCCTCCTGTATATTAACAAAGTGATTATGTGTACTCGATGGAATGTTTGAAAGAAGTTGCTTTATTCGATAGTGTTCAATACATTTGATCTGCAGGAGATACCAATGAAGTCAAGGTCACTCATTCACACAAACTTGATAGACCTTAATCCCTGCATGCTGGAGGCCAGATATTATGACCCTAACCCAATTGGATATTCAAATGAAAGCTTTTTAATTTTAAAATACGTTTGACTCCTACAAGAGTAAAAGAAGGTTAAGGTCATTTAATTAAAACCTAATTGATAGAATTTTTATCCCAGCATGCTACAGGTCAACATTCTGAACCTAGGCCTCTTGGTTATATGGAAGTTGATAAGCAATTTGACCCATGTGACCTTGAAATTGCGTCAGGGTTTGCAATAGCTCACTGACTCTTTGGGCCAAAGGAGCTATTAGCTTGCTAGTACAAGTAATACATAGTTAGATGAAAGTAATTACCTTGATCAATCTTCAAGGTCACATGGGTTGAATGTTTTTAAACACTCAACTTTGAATGAGTAACAAAAATCCTTTATCATAAAATAAGAAGCCTTTAGTTTATTTACAAAATTTCAAAAAGAAACGACCTTGACTAACTCCATGTAGTCTAAAAGGAATTAAATTTGTCAAAACTATAAATCAACTTCTTCCATTCCTAAGAACAGAAACACCTAGAGCCAATTGACACTAAGTCAGTGACTTGCTGGCATTGATTTCTACCAATCATGTGAAAAGAAATGACTTTGACTTGAATTCAAGGTCAAAGGGGTCCAATTTGTTCGAGTTCTTTAACAAATTCTTCAGAAAAATGGAGAGACCTACAGTTATGATACTTGGCTAGTAATTTAGTTGCACGGAGCACTACAAAGTTTGTAAAATGAAATTATGTTGACCTATATATAAATCCCAGTTAATGGGTGTGAAATTTGTTTAAACACTTAAACAATTTTTTCTGGTTATTCAATGGAATGCTTCACATTTCAGTAATGAAATGTATTGGCCACATATTAAGGCCACAGTGCTTAAATTTGTCAAAACACTCCTATGACTCCTGAAGAAGAATGGAAAGCTCTGGAGTCATTGCATTTGGCCAGTAAGTTGCTGGCATGGAGTGCTACATAGTTTGCAAAATAGAAATGACCTTGACTTGTATTCATGGTCACGGGGCAAAAGGACTATGTATGGTTTGGGCCTTTTTTGGCCCCCAAATCCATCAAAATTAAAAATCTGCAATAGAACATTCAAACAAATGTTTCTTTAATTTTGAATACTTCCCCAGTACTATTATGTAAATATTTATTTGTGTTTTCAATTTTGGCTGCCATAGTAACCAGGTCATATTTGCATAAATGATTGAAATTTGATTATTCAGTCAATTTTGACAGGTTTTCACCTAGTTTTTCTCTTAGCTACCATAGAGCGCACTCTTGAACAAACTTAATGTTTCTCCTAAAGATGTATTACAGGTGCCTACACATTATCCTTTGATATTAAGTTTGTTCAAGCATGCGCTCTATAGTTTCAAGGAGAAAAACTATGCAAAATATATCAATATTCACTGAATATTCAATTTTTAGGTCACCTGAGACAAAGTCTCAAGTGACCTATTGCGATCACCTTTTGTCCGTCGTTGTCCGTCGTGCGTCTGTAAACAATTTACATTTTCGACTTCTTCTCCAAAACCCTTGAACCAATTTCAATGAAAATTTGCAGAAACCTTCCATGGCTAAGGTCAACACAAAAAGTTGCCGGTTTNACTGCTTTACCAAAATTGTGAATTTCATGACCCTTGGGTCTCACGTTTCCCCCTGGGGAGGGGGTAAACTTTACTATAGTTTATATAGNAATGTTTCTCCTAAAGATGTATTACAGGTGCCTACACATTATCCTTTGATATTAAGTTTGTTCAAGCATGCGCTCTATAGTTTCAAGGAGAAAAACTATGCAAAATATATCAATATTCACTGAATATTCAATTTTTAGGTCACCTGAGACAAAGTCTCAAGTGACCTATTGCGATCACCTTTTGTCCGTCGTTGTCCGTCGTGCGTCTGTAAACAATTTACATTTTCGACTTCTTCTCCAAAACCCCTGAACCAATTTCAATGAAATTTTGCAGGGACCTTCCATGGACAAAGGTCAACAAAAATAGTTGCCGGTTTAGTCCTAAGCCCCCAGGGGCCTGAGGGGCGGGGCCAAAAAGGGTCAAATTGACTAAAATTTCAAAAATCTTCTTCTCAAGACCAAGATATGGTAGAATCAAACACTCTTCATACATGGAAGGGTCTTAAGGTACTCTATCAAAAATGTGAATTTCATGACCCTTGGGTATCACATTTCCCCCTGGGGAGGGGGTGAACTTTACTATAGTTTATATNATTTGCAGAAACCTTCCATGGCTAAGGTCAACACAAAAAGTTGCCGGTTTGGTCCCCGGTCCCCAGGGGCCTGAGGGGCGGGGCCAAAAAGGCACAAATTGACTAAAATTTCAAAAATCTTCTTCTCAAGACCAAGATATGGTAGAATCAAATACTCTTCATAGAAGGAAGGGTCTTAAGGTGCTTTACCAAAATTGTGAATTTCTTGACCCTGGGGTCTCACGTTTCCCCCTGGGGAGGGGGTAAACTTTACTATAGTTTATATAGGGAAATCACATTTTGGACCAACATTTGTTTAATTTCCATTGGAAGTAATTAAATTTAGGTAAGCATTATCAGTATTGGATAGCAGTTTAATGGTATGTACATATAAGCTCTGACTAACCCCCCAGGGCTGATGGGTGGGGCCAAAAAGGGTTGAATTGACTGAAATTTCAAAAAAAATCTTCTCAAAGACCCAGATAAGCACTCTTCATAGATGGAAGGGTCTTAAGGTTTATGACCCTATGGTCTCCTATTTACCCCCTGGGGAAGGAGGGGGGGGGGGCAAAATTTATTATGGTTTATAATGGCAAATGATAAAATTGAATATTACATGTTAATAGCTTGATTGGAATTATAACCCTGAGTTGACAGTTTGATACTTTGAAAATTTTGAGCCAGCGCTTCCCCCAAGGGCTGTAGGGTGGGGCCCAAAGGAGTCAGTGTGCTAAAATTTCTTCATTTTCCTTGTTTAGAACCAGAGGTGCTAGTTTCAAATACTTTTTAGTCTTAAATCTGTATGCTAGATATTGAATAAGGTGGTTTTATTGTTTTTTGTCACTGAATAATATTTCTGTTCGTGTTAAAAACAAAATCAACTCTCTGTATAAATATATCATGTGACCATTAAGGCCCATGGGCCTCTTGTTTCTAATTTATGCAAATTTGAACTTGTTACCATGGCAACAATAATTAGAAATATAAATAAATATTTTCAAAATAGTATTTAGGAAGTATTCGAAATTAAAGAAACAGTCATTTCAAAGTTCCTTTAAAGGTTTTGAATTTTGATGCATTTGGGGGCCAACACAGGCCCAAACCATACATAGTCCTTTGCAGTAATTTTGGGAAATCTGTTCAATTCTCTCTCAGAATTATTGAAATAAAAATAACACAGTTTATTGTTTCTTTGTGTTTTCTGCTTTATGCAACAATGTTGACATTCATTTTTGTGTATTGTTTTTCAAATAAAACATTGTTCCATCAAATGTTTTGTTACTGCAGAATGTTATTTTCAACTAATACACAAGCTATATAATTATGGAATCAGTGCGAAAACTGTTAAATGGATAGAAAACTTTTTAAGTGATAGACATCAAAAAGTAGTGGTTAACAGATCTACATCCAAACAGAACGTCTTAAGCAGAATTCCTCAGGGGAGTGTTTTAGGACCAATACTATTTGTTATGTATATCAATGACATGCCCGAGAACACTGCGTCATCATGCTCTCTATTCGCGGATGATACTAAATTATACCGCAAGATACAGACTGATGAGAATAAGGAAATTCTACAAGCAGATTTTAATAATCTTCAAAAATGGTCTGATGATTGGCTTCTGAAATTTCATCCGAATGAATGCAAGGTTCTTCAGGTTAAAGGATCACCAAACAATAATAGAACATCCCGTCTCGCGAGCAAAACTGGAGAAGTCGTACTTGACAAAATCAACAGTGAAAAAGATTTAGGAGTAACGGTGGATGCAAACCTGGACTTTCGGACCCACATTCAAAACTCAATAAATAAAGCTAATTCAGTACTCGGGATTATTAGAAGATCATTTACTTTTTTGGACGAATCGATTTTTAGACAGTTATATAAGGCTCTGGTAAGACTGCATCTAGAATACGCAGCCAGTGCGTGGAGTCCGTATAAACTTAAAGATATCCAGATGATATAGAATGTACAACGGAGAGCCACAAAGCTTCTACCTGGATTTAAAGAAATTTCCTACGAAGAACGTTTAGAAAAATTAAAACTACCGACACTAAAACACCGAAGGACTAGAGGTGATTTGATTAACGTTTTCACGATTGTGAAGAGGAAGTTTGATGAGAAAGTCACGTCAGACATATTTGTCTACGATAATAACGAAAGAACACGAGGACATAATTTTAAGCTATATAAACAAAGATGTAGTACAGAGCTAAGGAAAAACTCGTTCACGTTTAGGGTAGTTGATATCTGGAACGGTCTACCAGAATCGGTTGTAAATGCAGAAACCATGAAGGACTTTGAGATCCTGTTGGATAACCATGTGAAGGACACTATTTACAATAATTACTGATAATGACTTTCAAAATAACTCTTTTGGGAAAGTTTATATATGTTAACCAGTGACAATATAATATTTTTATACTATGTTTTGTGATATGGACTTAGAGGCTTTCAGCCTGCGTCCATTATTTTTCAATTAAATTCAATTAAAT